AAACAAGACGGCAACCGGAAACGAAGTACCCAATTTCCACAAGTACTCCTCGCTGCAGACTGTAGCGCGGTGACGTCACGTATATACAATACGTCACGTACGTACGTCACGTATGTGTTACCACGCATGCGCCATATCGCGGCGACAGCGCATGCGCGTTACGCGGTTACGTCACGTGTTTTGACGTCCCGCGTCAATTTGACATAATATTTAACAAAAATGTTAATGTATTAAAAAACTCTAAAGTAATAATGAAAGCAGCAAAAAGAAGTAAAACACACATCCATAGTTTTAACTATGCCTGATTTAAGGTAAACTTATGAGAAATTTTAGAATGTATTATTGTGTAATGTGTAGTATTTTATTTAAAGTTTATTTTTACATTCTATTGAATTGAATGCCTTTATTGTCATTGTACTTTACAATACAACGAAATTGGTAACACTCTCCACTGGTGTATACAATAAATACATTTAAATAATCCTTACAGTACATAAAATAATATATATAAATAAAACAAACATAAAAACAGTATAAAATCAGTATAAAGTTGAATTAAAACAGTGCATTTGGAAAGAAGCTATTTTTGAATCTGGTGGTGCTGGATTGTATAGACCTATAACGCCTACCAGAAGGCAACAGTTGAAACAAAAGGTGACCTGGATGAGTATTGTCCTTGATGATGTTTTTGGCTCTTGAGAGAGTGCGACGAAGTGCAATGTCTGACAAAGATGGTAAAGGGCATCCTATAATGTTTTCTGCAGTCTTGATGATTCTCTGCAGAGCCTTTTTGTTGGCAGTAGAACACCCAGCAAACCACACAGAGATGCAATATGAAAGAATGCTCTCAATGGTGGATTTATAAAAGGACACCAGCAGCCTTAGATTCATTCTGTCTTTTATTGCACTTCACTTTGTAAATTACAAAATTACTGTAAACACTGATGGCACCTTATATATTTCTTATTTTAATGATTCCCCTTTAATAGTTAATAATTGTTTATTTTTGTGCATTATATAGGCTATCATAAAACATTTATTCCAATAAAGTAGTTTGAAGTTAAACAGCACATTGTCAATCTCTGTATCCGATATTATGCATGCCAACTCAAAAAAAAAACTCATAACAGTCATAACTTTTATTTCAAAACAAAGATAATTGTGTAAAAGAAATATGTACAAATACAGATAATCACATACATCTGTACACACACACACACACACACACACACACACACACACAGAGAGAGAGAGAGAGACAGACAGACACACTACTCAGCTTGAAATTCCCCTCCATCATTGAAAAAACAATCAACTGAGCATAGCCCTCAACCTCCTTATCAGAATAAAATCAACGCAGGACTCCCCTTCTGCCATCACCCACACACCCAGCCCCAGGTGGGCAGTCCTTGTATATTGCAGTGCAAGCACAGAGTTAACGAGTAGGGCACCCGGAACTCTTGCTTGTATTGCTGGAAAATGTACTCCAGTTCACAACACCTAATTTAGATAAAATACAGAACAAACAATATGAATCATTTTGAAGAAAGGCATTAATACAGTACAGAGTCGTCATACAAGGAATATATATATATATATATATATATATATATATATATATATATATATATATATATAATTTTTTTAAACAAAGTTATTGGCTTTGTCTGTAAAGTACCTAAGTACCTAAGAGACTTTAACATAAACTACTTAAAAAAAAAAAGTTATGCTGTCTAAATGATAAAAACAACTAAGGAGAATAACAATGAATCTTATTTGAGCAAAATACAATGTTCAACTTCATTACTTTAATTAATTTCACCACAAATGTATTTAACATAACTTACGTACTGTAAGTGTACTACATTCACGAATGTAACTTTTACAGTACGATCTGATACTGAGGAACAACATTTCTTTTGCAATGGATGGAACAATCAACTACATTACTTACATAAGTCTTTCTGCTCTATTTGAAGACATCTTTCAAACCTTAATTTGTTTAAAGGCGAATTAAGACTTATACATATCATTTTAAGACTCGCTGAAACTCGCTGAAGTCATTTTGATAATATGAGATCATAAAACATAACATTTTTTGTAAAATCTAAAACATTTCTGATGCGCTCTATGGAATCTCTTACAATTAAAAGCCGTTAACACAAAAGAACAATTGTTAAAACAGCATAAATAATCCTTATTGACTTACTGCCATCGAATCCATCGCCGGAAGTGATTGTAATGAACTGCGCGTGCGCAAATGCGTATAATTTGCGCGTGCGCACATGCGTCTACTTTGCGCATGCGTGGTAACACATACGTGACGTACATACGTGACGTGTATACGTGATGTCACCGCGCTACAGTCTGCAGCGAGGGGTACCTCAATTTCCACCCTCAAGCCGGAAGTTAGCATTTTTCTCGTGCACAGAGCGAATCTGAAAGACAGTACATATCTTCCTCCAAGAGTGTGACGTTCAGCTGTTCTCTCCGTCCGGGCTCATTGAGAATCCGATCAAGAGTCCAGCCATCTCACCCTCTAACACTCAGAGCTGTCGCGTGTTCATTGATGCTCCTCCAGCATTGAGGATTCAGATCAGAGCACTTTCTGTGCTCAACAATACAGATACAAACTCAACATACATACTGGTAAGTGACTGCGTGTGTCCATCTTTTATATAAACATACACTATTGTTCAAAAGTTTGGGGTCAGTAAGATTTTTAAGATGAATACTTATGCATTAAATTGGTCAAAAGTGACAGTAAAGACATTTATAATGTTACAAAAGATTTCTATTTCAAATAAATGGTGTTCTTTTGAACTTTTTTTTTTTATCATGGAATCCTGAAAAAAAAAAAAAAAAAAGGTTTCCACACAAATATTAAGCAGCACAACTGTTTTCAACATTGATAATAATAAAAAAAATGTTTCTTGAGCACCAAATCAGCATATTAGAATGATTTCTGAAGAATCACGTGGCATTGTATCACTGTAAAGCTGCTTTGAAACAATCTGTATTGTATAAAGTTGTATTGTAGTGAAAACTGGAGTAATGGCTGCTGAAAATTCAGCTTTGCCATCAAAGGAATAAATTACATTTAAAAAAATATGATAAAATAGAAAATATTAAATAGCAATAATATTTCACAATATTACGGTTTACACAATATTTTTGATCAAATAAATGCAGCCTTGATGAACATAACAAAAACATAAAAAAGATTATCTTTCAGACCCCAAACTTTTGAGCAGTAATGTATAAGCATAATCATCTGTCGGACAAAGGAAGAGATGTAATCAGTCTAAACGGGTTGGAATAAAGTGTAACTCAGCAGTTTGTGTTCAAAAAGCACATTATAAGCAAACATTTGAGATGAAAGAGTAAAGACAGCTAATGGTGCACTGTGTTTTGTGGGTCATTTACTAAGATAGATACTGAGCCGGCATTTAGTAAAAATAAGTAGTTCTGCAAGCACTAAGATTGGTAGACATTGCGGATGTGACGTCCAGTGAGTTGAGCACAAACGTGTTTATGTTGTGATTCTCTGATGTTCTGTGTTATTGTTTTCTTTTGCTTATCCAGATTCGTGATGTGGATGCCTTAAAGACGACCATATTCAGAGGGACACGGCTCTTCCTGTGGAGCTCCTCGGGAAGCAGGGCTGAAGTGGAATTCCACGGGGAGTATCAGCAAATCAAGGGAATGTTCAGGGCCGAGTATTCGTACATTGACCCTTCTGAAGAAGAACCAGTGTAGTTTGTAAGAGTGTTTCTAGTCCATAAAGAGCCTTGGAACATTTAACAACCATAATTTAGCCAGTTTAGCACACCAGAATCAGAACAGGAGGATTTATTAACGTGTTCTCAAAGATATAATCTGAAGTATTCTGTCTTGTTTTGTCATATCATTTAAAAACAAAAATAATACAATTTACTGTTTATATATAAGTGCTTCTGTATATTTATTGTAATGAACATGAGTTAATCTGCTGACAATAACGTGTGCCAAATCTACTCCTAATCTAACAGCACAAAGAAATAAATAACAATCATAAAATGTATTTTCTGATATTTTGATTTAGAACAGGCTGTGGCTATGAGAGTTTTGGTAAAGAATAACAGTCGTACTTAGCAATTGTGAAACTAGCATGAACCTCCTTAAAGCCCAAGGTATATTTAGTTTTTTATGCCTACACTTAGCATATGTGTACAGACAAACACATAGTCATTCAAAGTATAGTCCATTTCGGAGCTTCCCAAACTTTTTTTATCAGCCGAACCCCTTAGACCTAAAATATTTACTTGAAATACCCCCTGAGATTTGAAGTAAACATCTCAATAATTTAACAAAACATTCACGTTTTTTCACGGTTCCCTGATTTTGATTAATGGCCACATGACATGCAAACATAAAATATCTGTATCTAATCTATATATAACCTTTTTGTAGTAAGTGTTTTGATTGTAATATAATGATGAAATTTATTTCATGCACACTGTACACATATACTAGCGTACGCAAAAAGACAAACAAAACTGAAGTATACTTTGGGCTTTACATGATATGGACTGGACAACATCAACAGCATTCCCAAACATATAGTTGTTACAATTGAAACTGTAAAACCAGAATGAACGTGTCTCTGTCCCTGTTTGAGTTTGTAGCAGCCTCTTAATCCATAGTCACTTGGTAGTCACCCTGAATAGTGAAGTGTGTAATTTCTGTGCCATTAGCATCATTAAAATATACTGCAAAAATAACGACTGTTTTGAAACAGGTTTCCCGATTTCCATTAGCCATTGAGTCGATGTTGCTTTGTTCAAACAAACAGATCAAAGTTTTAAAAGCACCACATAGTCACAATGCTTACATATTGAATGGAATCAACCTAATAATGGATTTCTTAGTTACTTATAGTTTTTGTATAATGCAAAAAAAAAAAATAGTAATTCACACACGTCACACTCATATGGAATATCAATATGAGCAAATAATATGAGCCAATAATACATGCCAATTTCATGACACTGAAAGTGGGAAAAGCCTGCAGTCTGAAAAGGTTTCAGGGCTTCTGTGAGAGTTTCTTTTGCCATTAAAGAAGTGTCGTCACTCACTAGGCCTTAGACACCTGCTCCAGAAGAGTCTTCATGTCCAGAAGAGCATCCTCTAGAAACTTGGACAGTTTAGTAGCATTGGTTTCTTCACAGCTATTGAAGGCCGTCACTGCAAAGTTGATATGGTCATCCATGGGGTTGTAGCAGACACCGTAACCATCAGGAACCATGGGTCCAAAACACATAACACAGTCAGTCTTTGATCCAACCTGAAAATAATACAACCACAGCTTACATGAAAATGCTACATTTCACAATAAGATAGATTTACCAAACATTCAAGCTCTTAAAGGGACAGTACACCAAAAAATAAAGAAGGCGTAACTTTTATTCTCGCTGTATTATTGTTGCGCAGGAGACGCTGTGTAAATTCCTTGCGAAAGCCAAACTACTTTGTTTGGCCTTCCAAAAGAGGACACAATTAGAAAACAGTGCTTAAGCTTTATTTACAACACTTTTCCAGAACAGTACAACTAAAATATTCGACTGTGTGCTGCGCATTTTTCAGGAGGACTGTTTCCAGAGATTTCAAGGCCGGCTTTGCACAAAGGCTGATTCTAAAAAGTGGGGCAATTCCATCTTTGCATGTACATTCTGGTGCTTCTGACTCACAGACTATTCAAACGCGAGTTTTGAGCAGTATAGAGTAACGCTTGTTTGTCGTTTCTACGATCACAAATGCAGACATAGTTTTATGTTTACATTGTGTTCTCACACTGGTAGCGCGGCGCGATACGTAAAAAGACAGTAGAAGTCATTATAATCAGTAATTACACTCACCTAAAGGATTATTAGGAACACCTGTTCAATTTCTCATTAATGCAATTATCTAATCAACCAATCACATGGTAGTTGCTTCAATGCATTTAGGGGTGTGGTCCTGGTCAAGACAATCTCCTGAACTCCAAACTGAATGTCAGAATGGGAAAGAAAGGTGATTTAAGCAATTTTGAGCGTGGCATGGTTGTTGGTGCTAGACGGGCCGGTCTGAGTATTTCACAATCTGCTCAGTTACTGGGATTTTCACGCACAACCATTTCTAGGGTTTACAAAGAATGGTGTGAAAAGGGAAAAACATCCAGTATGCGGCAGTCCTGTGGGCGAAAATGCCTCGTTGATGCTAGAGGTCAGAGGAGAATGGGCCGACTGATTCAAGCTGATAGAAGAGCAACTTTGACTGAAATAACCACTCGTTACAACTGAGGTATGCAGCAAGCATTTGTGAAGCCACAACACACACAACCTTGAGGCGGATGGGCTACAACAGCAGAAGACCCCACCGGGTACCACTCATCTCCCCTACAAATAGGAAAAAGGGGCTACAATTTGCAAGAGCTCACCCAAAATTGGACAGTTGAAGACTGGAAAAATGTTGCCTGGTCTGATGAGTCTCAATTTCTGTTGAGACATTCAGATGGTAGAGTCAGAATTTGGCGTAATCAGAATGAGAACATGGATCCATCAAGCCTTGTTACCACTGTGCAGGCTGGTGGTGGTGGTGTGGGGGATGAAAACATTATATGGTGTGGGGGATGTTTTCTTGGCACACTTTAGGCCCCTTAGTGCCAATTGGGCATCGTTTAAATGCCACGGCCTACCTGAGCATTGTTTCTGACCATGTCCATCCCTTTATGGCCACCATGTACCCATCCTCTGATTCCAGCAGGATAATCCACCATGTCACAAAGCTCGAATCATTTCAAATTGGTTTCTTGAACATGACAATGAGTTCACTGTACTAAAATGGACCCCACAGTCACCAGATCTCAACCCAATAGAGCATCTTTGGGATGTGGTGGAACGGGAGCTTCGTGCCCTGGATGTGCATCCCACAAATCTCCATCAACTGCAAGATGCTATCCTATCAATATGGGCCAACATTTCTAAAGAATGCTTTCAGCACCTTGTTGAATAAATGCCACGTAGAATTAAGGCAGTTCTGAAGGCGAAAGGGGGTCAAACACAGTACCGTATTAGTATGGTGTTCCTAATAATCCTTTAGGTGAGTGTATGTCCCTAATGAAATAAAACCTTACCAATCTGATAAGATCTGGTCCAGTTGCGCTGGCAAAGTTGATTCGATCAGCTTGGTCACCTGCATTTTCCGGTTCAGATTCGGGCTCGAATTGATAAGGTAGTACCGACATTATCACCTGTCATTATTGCTTTTGGAGCTGATGTTCCAAATATGGTAAGGGGCGTGACATTTCCGTCACACGCTGAAGGTTTTTGGGCCAATCACAATGCACTGGATCGCTGGCCAATCAGAGAACACCGCGCTTTTCAGAACGATGAGCTTTGTAAAAATCGACGTGTTTCAGAAAGGCGGGGCATAGAGGAGCAACAATAATGTACAGTATGTGTGAAATAATGACTTTTTTTAACCTAAAACCCTGTAAACACATTGAATTTAACCAAACACACATTTTTAGAATGCCGCGTCATGTGCGAGACTCTGCAAAAGACGCAAGCGCACCGGTTAAAGACGTCCGTCTAGCGTGTATTTACATTGAAAAACAATGGAAAAGTAGCACAGTGGAATGGAAAAACGTGTTCTGTCTAAGATATTTTGAATAATGTTCTTTTGTTTTGAAACAACATTGGTTTCCATTGAGTTTTATTGTACTGACAAATAAATACACTGAAACAATTTTCCAAATGTTCTGCAAATGAAAGGAAGTCATACAGGTGAGTAAATGACAGAATTTCTATTTTAGGTGAACTGTCCCTAGAGATCGATTAGGTAAATTTCAGATATAGTTCCCATAACACCACAAATGAAGTGTTATGAAGAGCAAGTACTAATTAGGGCTGTCACATCTAACTTTTTTGTCTGTGGGTATAGAGTATCTCGTTTCTCATCAGTGGCGTCATTTCATCCACGACTCTGGCTCTCCCATGGCTTCATGGTATAGTAAAGTGTCCCACTGGTTGCACACTTAAGAATCTCGCCGGAAGTATTAAGTCATCCGGGTATTTTTGCCTACTACATAGTAGGAAAGTAAGCATATTTGTATTCAGCCACTGCCTTATTGTCTTCCTTTTTCCATTTCATGACGGGTGTCAACTAGCGTTAAGGTGAAATACCTCCACAACCTACTAGGAGTGTCAACCAAATTACTGCCATCTAGCTATTGCCGCTGAATTATTTACAATAATTAAATTTTTGTAGTATTGCATTATATCATTATTTTATTTTTGAAATATCACAGTTATCATCATTACCGGTATATTTCGACACCCCTAGTTCCAATACAGTTGTAAACACAGTTTTAAACCAATCCTTTCTTTGACTAGAGCTGAAAGATATTTCTTCACAGCACAGAAGTGTCCTCAGGGAAGCATTACTGCAACCCTGTTAGATTTATATCTGTTAAGTGTAAACTATATCAAAGGGCACCAACATGGCAGAATTATTTGCAAGGTATTACATGACAGTGAAACCCTGTTACTTAGAGTCTCAGAGGGGCTTTAAATGGGACATAAGGTCTGTCAGCTCTTTGAAACAAAAAAAGTTTAACCATGTAGATATTTTACAAAACCATAACCACCATGACCACCCTTATTATCAATGCCTATTGAGTATTTAGCAAGAAAATAAGATAGATAGACCAGAAGAAGCTACTATGTATTTCTATGTATAAATTAAGGCACATTTTAACAGGATAAGGTGGCTCTTAGCCAAGGTCGGTTTACTTGGCGCCATGACCAAGTACTGCGATGTTTGGCTTTAGCATTGGAAGGCAAGCGTAACACGACCAATAAGTTGGCACCTGTTCTAGCAAAACATTACACACAGAAGGCGATATTCCTCCGCCCAGGCGAGCAACCACCAAGAAAAGGTGTTAACACCAATTCTCGCCCAGGACAACTGGAAGCTGCTAGGGACTGGTGGTGCTGGCTGCTGGCTGATCTTGATCAACGGCTTATTTTTCCACCTGAGATTGCCACCACTAACCTCCGACCAGATATTGTTTTGTGGTCTGGATCAGCACGCATTGTTCAACTGATAGAGTTAACAGTGCCATGGGAGGATGCTGTAGATGAGGCATATGAGAGGAAGAAACTGCGGTATGCTCATCTGGCCACTGAAGCAGAACAGCGAGGATGGAGAGTCCAGGTTTATCCAGTGGAAGTGGGTTGTCGAGGATTTGTGGCACACTCTACAACCCGGTTCCTCAGAGACGTCGGATTCAGTGGCCAAGAGTTGCGTCGCAAAGTAAAGAACTTATCTGAAGCAGCAGAGAGGAGCAGCAACTGGCTGTGGTTGAGACGGAAATATTCTAGCTGGCTGTGTACAGGCCACCACGCTACGGTTTCGTAGAATTCTTGAAAAACTCGAAGAGTCTGTTGGTTTATTTGTATAGTTTGCATAGTAATTACAGTTATTACGTTCCTGTGTATATTGCGTGAATGAGGGTTGGTGTTTGGGCAGATATTGTGTTTTGCGGTAGGTAGTATGCCATACGGAACCGTTGCCACTGAACCTACTTTAACGAAGACAGAGGGGCTCGACAGCCTTAGTCAAACGGGTTGGCGCGTATGGTTGGGTTGCGGAGAGATTGTTAGATTGTGGTTAGGTCACATGTGAACTACGAGGAAGGAGCAACCTCAGCAGCAGGAGGGATGTAAAGGTCAGTAAGCTGGGCTGAGTTGAGTGGGGGACGGAGGGGGGTGACTCTGGGACGCCAGAGTCACTATCGAGCCCTCTTGAGGTGTCGTGGGCTAGTCGACGAAACACTGAGGACGGAAGGTGCCCACTTGAAGACCCTAGAGATGTCCCCTACTCGGCTCAATCCAGACGGTTGTCATGCTGGTCCACTAGGGAGACCACACTGTATTTGCAGCCGTTGTGTGTGCTGACGCGCCAAGTACACAGCAGCCGTTAACGCCGGACAGAAGGAGATTCACATCACCATATGGAAGGAAGCGTAAATGGATGGAGAAGCATGGGTTACTGTAAAGCTACGTCTTAGTTTGTGCTTATCTTGGCGAAAGTCGAGTACAAATCAGCATGAAGTTTTAACATCTACTCTCGTGTAATGGAAATCTTTGTATCTAAATTTGGGAATTGTAAGTTAAGTCAAGTCACTTTTATTTATCTCTTTTTACAATACTGATTGTTTCAAAGCTGCTTTACAGTGATAACGGGAAAATAATGCTACAAATGCATTGTTTCGGCTGTGATTTTGATTGATTTTTTCACGTCTCGTAGTCGTGACATGTCTGGTGTGGACAGACATATTGCTTGTCGCTGGAATCTTATGGCCAGATAACTGATTTTTAGCTCATTATGGCCATAGCTGGGGAATCCGGGGCCCCCTTAAAATCCCGTTGCCCCTACAATAGTCAGTACCTTTTGCCCCACTATCGACGGCCCTGGTGACGCGTATCGTTAGGACATTCAGGATTGTTTTGTGAACCTGACACAATGTAAAGCAGGCCAGCTATGCAAACCCACAAGACATAAGAAATCATTGCTACTCATTTCACATGCAAAGAGGTTAACTAATTATAACAGAGGTCATTTGCATATAGAAGTCTTAAAGGTACAGCAGCAAAAATAAACAAAAAACAAGCCTGGTGAAATATAAGGTGAGAGGATGGAATTTTTTTGGGGGGGGGAAGAAACCCTGACTATTGTTGTAAGTAGTGGACTTTGTGGGTGTATGGTTCTTTTATGATGTCTTTGACATTTTTTTAACCTGACACCTCATTTTCATTTTATTTAAAAAGTTGGACAATAGTCAGTACCTTTCGTCCCGCTATCAACTGCCCTGGCTATGCGTCTGGTTACGACATGGTGTTACACGTTTGAGAGACACATTCAGGGTTGTTTTGTGAACCTGACACAATGTAAAGCAGGCCAGCTATGTAAACCCACAAGACATAAGACATCATTGCTCTTATTTCACATGCAAAGAGGTAAACTAATAATAACAGAGGTCATTTACATATAGAAGTCTAAGGGCCCTATTTTAACGATCTAAGCGCATGGTCTAAAGCGCAGGGTGCAATTGCACTTCCAAATCCACTTTTGCTAGCTTAATGACAGGAAAAAATGGTCTAAAAGGGTTGTCCCTATTCTCTTAATGAGTAATGGGTGTGTTTTGGGCGTAACGTGAAATAAACCAACCAGAGTCTCATCTGACTATCATTGTGAGTGGACTTTGTGGATTTATGGTTTTTGAACTTAACATCTGATTTTCATTTTATTTAAAGATTTAAGATGTTATTCAAAAAGTCGAAAGAAAGTCCAATATGAGATGGCATAAGAGTGAAAAAATTCCAGTCTAATTCCCATAAATAGCAAAAACTCTGTGAGTACAGATTGTTATTAAGCAGCCACAAACCTGACTCGTAAAGAGATTAAAATGTGAAGACACAGCGAATGATGTGTCCATGAAGATCTCAGGCAAAGACGTCAGATCCTCAATGGCCACCATCTTTAAACCCAGGATGTGCCTCTCTATAGCCTGCCCATGGATGGCCTGATTACAAAGGAAACAAAAACTGAGATCAGGAGGAGGCAAAAGTGATGTTTTATTAACAAAGTTCGGGAGGAGCACGTTCAGATAATTAACACGGGTGGAGAGCACTCAACAATCAATGATATGAGGTGTATATAGACTCAGCAGTCTCACCTCAATCCATTGAGAGTTTAGCAGTACCCCCCCACTGCCCCTTCTCCACACTTCTAGTCCTAACTACTTACTTGGGGGTCCGGGGGGAGTCCTCCCCCCGGACAGCACGCCAAATACGCATTAAACTTTACCCCCTCTAATTGTATGTAAGTTTGAACTCGTGCAAGAGGCAAAATTGTAACAGCATCAATACAATTTTTTTATTAATTTAGATCATATTTATTGAGAATTCTTGATAACATGACAAACATGTTTAAATATTTAAAGATCATATGACGCTCACCATGTGTGTGTGCTCTCTGTGGACTTTGGTTGCCTTTTCGAGCAGTGCTGCTTTCTCACCATTCTGCAAATGTGAAAATGAAACAATAATAACATGGAAAATTAACTTAATCGAGAGTGACAAACGAGAATGATACTAAAATGTAAACTCTTACGTTTTTTGACGGGTCATCCATGGCTTGTGTGAACTGGAGCGATTCTGTGGTGGTGGATCGAATGGCTTCCGTTCTGCCCAGTTTAAACATGCGTAAGGAGGCGCTCTCGTAAGTCGGACAGCACATCTGATACATCCTAACACAGGAACAAGATCAATCATCAGTGGGGTGGCGTGGTTATGTGAGTACATAAAAAATGATTTCCAAGAACACCTAGGATTAATTGTCAGTTAGCACTTTTTCCAAGGTTTCACAGACAAGGCTCAAGCCTAGTCTCAAACTAAAATACATGTTTGAGCTGTTTTAACTGAAAGCAACTTGCATTGACATATCTTAAAATATGTCGGTGCCATTGTTTTGTCTCAAGATGCTCACCAGTAATGTTTTTTCTAAGGCATGTTTATAAAAGCTACTTAAATACCCTAATTGAACTAATGCCTAATCCTGGGTTAATCTAACACCCTGTGTTAGAAACCAGGCCTTTGAGTATTGAAGAACACAAAAACACAAAAAGACCCTGCCACACTTTAATTTATCCACATGCAATTAATTATTGTATGAAAGCATGCAAAAGTTGGGAGAAAACCAGTTTCCAATCACATGGAAATTGCATGTCGTATCTCCTTTGGTCAATTTCTGCAACTCTCCACTTCCAGAATGCATTGCATGTTTTAAAGGTAAAGTATGTAATTTATATGCCACTAGTGGCACTAAACAGAATTGCAAAAATGTTGTTTCCACACCCCCTTTGGCTATCGAGATACCTATACAGTTAGTCCCACCCTACATTCACGCCACTGTTTGAGCCAGAAGCTGCGTTCATCTTTGTCAAGTGGACGAGGGATGTTTATTTGGACAGACCCTCGACCCCTCGATTTTCTCAGAGGAAGTGAGTCTTCTCATATGTACACTTCAGGCAGCTCCGTAGACCACAAAGCAACATGATCATAACATCCCAACCGCAACTCACAGTGCTTCAAAAGTGATCAAGGGCTTAGGGCGTTCCATTTAACCCCATTCCAAGGGTTCCGCCAGTAGTAGGCACTCGTGCAATGTAAGCAATGACATCCGAGTGAATGAGACAGAGGGAAGTTAGCGGGGAAAATTAAAAAGGACTTAAACTTAAACGCAACCCTACAAATGACTGACTTATAGAAGAAAGGATTTGAACATAAAAAAATTACATACTTGACCTTTAAAGATGCTGACAAGAGGAAATGTGGCATAAATGGCATGCATGCAACCTAGGAAATGAAGTGAGAGAAGCCATTGGGATGTAAAAACAAAATACTATCTGAAGGACTACAGGTTTTCAGGGATTTTTAGAGACCGTTGGTCAGAGAACAAATATTCAGCACTAGGGTTTCAAACTTACCTGTAGTATGCTAACTGCAGAGCCATTTGGATGAATGCATCAGGACTCAATTTATGAGACCTCGGGAATTTTCTTCCATAGTGTGAGAAGTTTAGCACTCGAACGTCCAGTTCATGCACCATTCTATACATGGGATATAAGAGGATGAAGGAAGTACATGAATATTCATTTATTACAGGTACTGATTCAATGCCCATTATATCAGTTGGAAATGTCCTCACATGTTCATGTTCTGTTTGGCTTTGTCAATGTCCTTCTTGATTTCTGGCGTGATGTTGAATCGAAGCTTTAGTGGCATAGGTAGTGGAATCATGGGAGTTCGTACCATCTCATTTCTCCTCCTGTTACATACATGTTGCATAACATATCATCTATAAACTTTTTAAACACCAATACTTTTTCACAAAAAAAAGCAACAACTCAACACGATCAAACCTATTCGCTGCCTTATGTTTAGGGATGCAACAATACTATATTGGTTAGAGGCCAATATTAGAGAATTTTTTATTTATTGGTACTGGCCGATATTTGATTGTGCATAAACATTTCCTTGTTTATAGATTACCACTGCCATCATATAATGCTTAGTTAAAGTTAATCTTTAATTACAATGTTAACAACACTGTTAAATGCAATCTTTAGCAAATCTCAAATGAACATCCATTTTAATACTGTTATAATGTTGTGATGTAGAGCAGAGTGAAATTTTAATATTACTCATTTATCTGTGATCTGTGAAAATAATTACCGGCTTATCAGTATCAGTGCATATCTGTTGGTAATACATTTACATACCATTTCAACGGTTGTGGTCAATAATGTTACAAAAGATATCTATTTTAAATAAATACTGTTCATTTAAATTTTCTAAGTATTCCAAAAAAAATGTATCATAGTTTCCAGAAAAATATGAAGCAGCACAACTGTTTTCAACATTGATAGTAATAAGAAATATTTCTTGAGCAGCAAATCAGCATAATAGAAGAATGATTTCTGAAGAATCTTGTGACACTGAAGACTGGAGTAATGATGCTGAAAATTCAGCTTTGCATCACAGGAATGAATTACATTTGAAAATATATTCAAATAGAAAATTGATTTTATTGTTTAGGGATGATTTTGATTTTATTGCCAAAATCTTAGAAAATGATGTATCTGTACAACTGCAGAGATTTTTGGAAACTAACAGTACTTTAGAAAAATTCCAATCGGGGTTCAGGAAACAGCACAGCACAGAGTCAGCACTCATAAGAGTTTTAAACGATATTTTGTTATTTGTTGACTCTGGGAACTCGGCAATTTTGGTGCTATTGGACTTGAGCGCGGCTTTCGACACGGTTGATCATGACATTCTGCTATCGCGTCTAGAAAAATGCGTGGGGCTTCGAGGTACTGCTCTTAGTTGGTTCCGATCGTATTTGAAAGATAGAACATTCTCCGTGGGTATCGGAGAGGCTGTATCATCTGTAGCACGAGTCACGTGTGGTGTCCCCCAGGGGTCTATTTTCGCCCCCATATTGTTTTCATTGTATATGCTGCCTTTGGGCTCAATTTTTAAGAAACATGGAGTGTCTTTTCACTTTTATGCAGACGACACCCAAATTTACTTACCCTTGAAACAAAATGACAAGCAAGGCTTAGAAACCTTGCGTGATTGTTTAAATGATGTTCGAGTCTGGCTGCCTTTGAATTTTCTACATTTAAATGAGTCTAAGACTGAAGTAATTGTCTTCGGGTCCTCCGTGGGAAAGATAAATCCCAAAAATAATTATGACTGTTTTAATGACTATGTCAAACCTACTGTGAGAAATCTAGGAGTTATTCTTGATGCATCCCTCAAGTTTGACAAACATATTAATTCTGTGGTCAAGTCCTGTTTTTTCCACCTTAAACTTTTATCCAAAGTTAAACCTTTTTTATCTTTTAACAATCTTAAAACTGTAACTCATGCATTTGTTTTATCTCGTTTGGACTATTGTAACTCACTATATGTTGGTTTACCTCAAACATCTATGCTGCGGCTTCAGATGGTCCAAAACGCCGCTGCCAGATTTTTAACTGGTGCGCGTAGACGAGAACATATCAGCCCGATATTAATCTCTCTTAACTGGTTGCCAGTGCACTATAGAGTAGAATATAAAATTTTAATATTTGTTTTTAAGGCACTGACTGGTCAGGCTCCGTCTTATCTGTTAGACCTTGTTAACGTGAAACACTCTACAAGATGCTTGCGCTCTTCAGACAGCATCACACTTGTACACCCAAAATCCAGACTGAAGTTGCGAGGTGACCGTGCTTTCTCTGTGGCTGGTCCTAGGCTATGGAATAGTCTTCCCTTATCTGTGAGATCTGCCACATCTATGTATGAATTCAAGTCCAAATTGCAGTCATATCTTTTTAACTGCGCATTTCACTCTTAACCCTGACATAAAGAATGCAAACGTATTGTTTTATTGTTTGTTTAGTTCTGTATTAATGTTGTGTTTTTATATTTTTTCTTCAACTATGTACAGCACAGTGGTCAACTTTTGTTGTGTTTATTTGTGCTATATAAATAAATGAAATGAAATGAAAACAGTTATTTTAAATTGTAAAAATATTTTGCAATATTACTATTATTTTTGATCAAATAAAGGCAGCCTTGGTGAGCAGAAGAGACTTCTTTCATAAAAAAAATCGTACCAACCCCAAACTTTTGAACAGTAGTGTATATTTCTTGTTGAAAAATTCCTTTTAAAAATCTAATGGAGAATTATATGATGTCATATCCTTACATATAGTCAACAACATGGTCCACGAGGAAAACAATGGGAGGTCCCTCAGCTGCAGCATGTTCATAGGTGAGTCCACATGATCCGTCCTCCCCAATTATGAACTGTGGGAAACAGAAGAGAGTGCAGGTAAAGAAGAATATCTCAATACATCTGGATTCATATCTACTCTTTGAGCTTTGTGGACAGATAGTAACCTGCAGCGTTTTGTCAAACCAGCGGTTTCCACTGTTCCAGCGACTGCCTCCGCCATGGAGCATTTGAGCAGCCACCTTGTTATGGTACATCTCATCTGACACGCTTGGCTTTGGAGCATCAAGACACACTGTGAAGATGCTCTTCTGGATTGCCCGCACTGAATCCTTATTTGTCTTGTCTGGAACAGTGTAAATATGAGTGGCACACAGGAATGCAGAGGAGAAATAAATGTACACCAACCAACATAATGCCCACTACTGAATAATTAATGTGAGCAGGGTGAAGCAGGGTTCACTGGCTATTCAGAATGGCACAATGCTGTTTGGAATTTGAGTTGTGTAAATTATGCAAATTTGAGAAAAAAAATACTTTAAAATTTATTTAGAATAAATAGCATGTTAAGACTATTTATATATGTATTAATAAATAGGATTATTTGAATTTTAAATAATGGTATGAATTTTAAATATGAAACTTGATTATTAACAGTGATATCTTACCGAGATCTTTTTTTGATAACTAAATAAGTTTTTGTATAAAACAATCTGCAAGAAATATGAGTCTTTTGCCTAGTCTGTTCCCATTGACATAAAAAGGCTCTATCAAATGTTATTTTCCATTCAACTCACCCTTGATCAGGTTGTTGTAGGCCTTGCCCCAGGTGTTACGGTGGTTGGAAGTCAGAATGCCAACTGGCTCTTTATTGGTCTGAAGGGAAGTGTTCCAGATCTTTTCCAGCTGAACATAGATCTGATCTACAGTCAGTGGTGAACCATCACTGTTGTACACATCCAGAACAAAGAACTGGGGAATACAGAGAAACAGACAGTATGTGAGATAGAGAGAGAAATGGAAAGAAAATATATTTATCTTTATTCATTTTGTCTCACTGGATATCACCTGCAAACAAAATCGACTTTAATGTCACTGGCAAATGCCAAAGCTTCAAACCCAAAGCTCAAATATGTAGAAACCATTTGAAAAACGATTATTTTGTCCAAAAAAAAACTCAGAAAAAAAATACTGAACACTGCTATTCAAATGTTTGGGGTCAGTATGATTTATGCCCTTTTACAAAGTCTCTCTTCCCAGTCTGTCAGTAAGCGCATTTATACTGCAGTATCAATATATCATTACTCACAAACTAATAATTTGGTATCAGTTCCTTTAAAAAATATCAATATTAAAATTATATAAATAAAAAAACATGGGTTTCTGCAACACTCTCATATGTTTTCAGTATTTTTTCTAATGTTTACGTCAAAACACCCCAGGCATATTTTGCTGGCCCGTGTCACATGTCTATGATATAAGGGATAGTCTGTGTTTCTGTGTACTTTGTATGCATGGGTAGGTTTTGCACGTTTAGTTCAGTTTCCGGTGTTAGTTTCCTTGGTTATTGAAGATTGGATTCAACATGCCAGTATGGAGACGAATCTGGTCATAGGTCTGATAGCTGTGACAGAAGAACTGACCTTTAGGGATCCAGCAGCAGATAAATAGCTGCGTATCCTCCTCCTCCTTGCAGGGTAACCAGTCCCTAGAGAGGCACAGACAGGCATTTTTGGACCTTTACCACCTTGCCCACTATGATGACAACTGCCTGTGTGTGATTTTCTGATCCAGCTTGAACACTGAGACAAGAGTGCTCTTGAATGGAGACGGACCTCTAGGGACCTTTATGGAGTATGTGGAATGGGTACTCCTCCACCACGGTTCCACCTTCACCATCTGCGAGAGCGAGGAGGAAAAGAGTGTGCCAGTCGCAGCCACTAACCCCGGTGACAGATGCGCCTGAGCCCACCGCAGACGTGGAGCCAGAGCCCACAACGATACCACTGCCAGTGAGGAAAGAAACTGAGCCAAGGATCGTCCAAGGATCAGATGGGTGAGCCGTCAGTACCTGACGGAATTTTGATGGAGTTCGAGGGGATGAGGTGAGGTCCTCTACTGTGGGAGAGTGAGTATATCCTGCCCATTTTGTCACCCTGCACTGAACCTGTTTCGTCACCTAATATCGAGTCTGTGTTACCACCCTGCCTCCCAGTCCCACCTCCTCTGCTTGTTTCAAGTCAGCCAAGAGAAAAATGTTTGCCTGTTCCGAGTCGACCAGGAGGGTCGTTCCTATATGTTTGTCCTGTATCTATCCAGAGAACTGTCTCTGAAACCCTTGCCTGCACTGCCCACTCCATCAGTCCTACCTGCACCGTCTCATCTCAGTCCTTCAGCTCCGCCCATGCTGGCTTCGTTTCCCCGCCTGGATTTGCCTTGGGCTTTGTGTTCAACAGTCAAGTCCTGGAGTGTCGACTTGTGACTCACTCCACCTCGGTCTGTCCAGCCCTTCGGCTCCGTTGGGCTCCTCCTTCCCTCCAGCTCTGCCTTGATCCTCGGTCACTCCGCCTTTGCCTCAGTCCTGGCTCCTCCTCAGTTGCTTGTCACTGTGGTTCCACCCTGCCCTCCAGGACATTTGGTGTCTCCCGGTTCCTCCAGGGCTCCTGGCCAGCTCCATCTTGGTCCGTCGGCTCCCTGGTTTCTGCTGCTAAGCCTCTACCATGGCTCCTCCCTCCCTTGACTCCGCCGTGGGCCTGCATCCTGGCCCTCCTGCTAGGGGTTTCCCTCTGTCTCCTCCTGTCTTTGTTTCCGCCTTGGCCCCTGTCCCACATACTCTGGGACTCTGCATCCCTCCACCTAAGCTGTCTCCCACCTGCCTCTGTTGGACTTTTTCGTATAGATAATGAGGAGCAAGAGCCTCCTTGATCTAGAGGGATACTGTAAGGGATAATCTGTGTTTGTGTTCTTTGTATGTATGGGTGGGTTTTGCATGGGTTTTGTTCAGTTTCCTGTACTATTTTTCTTGGTTATTCATTTGTCTGATTATAATTTACACCTGTTGCCCATTTGGTTGATTGGTTTGTTCGGTGTATTTAAACCCTGTGTTTCCTTCAGTTCTTTGTCAGTTCTCATCGCATTATGTTGAGTTGTTCTGTTCTGGTTTCATGTTCCCTGAGTTGGATGTTAAATAAACACGATACTGCTTGAGTTTAGATCCTGCGTTCATCTTTATTTTGCAACAAGCTGTGACATATGAGAGCAAGCGTGCAGTGAAAAATTAAGGCTTGTTTAAGAAGATTAAGAATACTTTAAAGGGGTCATATAATGCCATTTTTGTACAAGTTAATATGAATGTTTAGGGTCTAAATGAAAACTTTGTAATATACTTGTATTAAAAATTCTCATTAGTATTTTAAGAAAACACTAATTTTACCTGGTCAAAATCAGCTCTGTTTTCAGCACGCCGTTTCAGTGCATATGCCTTTAAATAATAAACCCCGCCCCTCTATTCTGCGGGCGTTTAGACGACAGTTGAGGGTATATATTTTGGAGAAAGAATGGCAGTGTCTTGGAGTCTCTTGAGGACACATCTGTGCAATCGTATCAGTTTGAACCGGAGTCGCACCCGGAACAAGAAGACGGCCGCAAAGAAGTTCGACAAGGCTCGAACAGGACCTTTCTGAATGGTTGGTTAACGTAATGTCACTTTGATCTATCTTTGTATGCACTGGCTGGGTAGAGCAGTGAGATACGAACGCTGTGTTTACTGATGTATACGTTAGTTCATTGACAGATTGACGTTACAACTAATGGTCATGAAAAACTTGTTCCCGCGATTTGCAAAGATTAATATAAAGGTTAATACAACTTTACACTCCCTTCTTCTGGAGGTGCAGAGGGAACATAAATAGTTGGTACCGATTATTTTTTCAGTAGCAGCTTCTTAGCAAAACCAGTTTATACTGACCCTCGTTTATAAAGAAGTCTACGATAAATTATTCGCGCAAACATGAAAGCATTGACGTTGATCGTGGGGAATATTCCCATCGTAAACAAAACTCAGCCACTGCGTCTTCAGCGGTTCAAATTTAGGAACATCAAAATGATTTCTGTGTTTGTTATTGCACCCAAGAACAGAACAACACAATCGCTTAGACGCCATTCTGCTCCAGTGCAACAACAAAGCAACAATGATGGACTATGATGAGAGCTCGCTCAGGGCGGGTCTGTGTTGAAACGCTGCTGTCAATCAACAACTGTGGGAGGGGCGTCATTATTGTTTAATCACAATCACATTATTTTTACACATTTACACCTACAAAAAGTGCAATGTGCTCTGAGTGGTCAGTGTGTTTTGATTGGTAAACCGTTTTGAGAGTGTTTTGGAACGGCCCTTACATTAACCGTGTTAGATCCAGGGTGGAAAAAACAGTGTCTCTTGGACATGACGACAACACACTACTAACGCAACTCAACCAGGCCTTACCCCCTTTATTTTACATATGCCTTGGGCGGGAATTATTTAAATGAGGAATATTGCGGTATGTGCATTTCCAGAAGAAAACTCAAGACTACAATCGAGGTGTTTCAGAGAGTTCAGAAACAGTGCTTGGTGATATAAAGAATAACTCCCTTTGGAGTTAACTTTTTGCTTTGTAACTTTGCAGACATTTTTTATGATCAAACAGCAACATTACAAATAAAAAAAAGTTGAAAATGTACAAAAGCAAAACAGGTCCTCTTTAATGTTTTTTGAAATAAGCCTGAAAGTGTGGCAAAGCACCTGAAAGTTGTGAACCACTGTGATGTGCGTAGGAGGGTTCTTTCCAGTTGCGTGGTTCACCACAGTGTCCCTCTTGGGTCCAGGGATCCGACATGAAGACAGCACCTGGTAATACTGGTCCATGCACAAAGGCTTGCCACCCAGATATTCCACAGGCAATGTTTCACTATGACGCAGTAAAGAATGTAGATTAAAACAAACTAATACATTTGGACATTTTCCAATTGCTTCAGAAAATAATTTAAAAAAAAACTCACCTATCAATCATACTTTTGAAATCCAAAACACCAGCAATGAGTTTAGCAGCAAATCTATAAAAGAGAATGCTGGAATTGCTAAATCTGAACAGGTGAAAACATATGACACTTTTGGAAAAACAGGCACACAGGTCAAAAAGATTGATTTCTCAAAGAGACATTTTATATAACATGTGACTGTCAGCTTAAAAAAAAACAAAGCTGAAAAAAAGAGCTATATATATATATATATATAGATATAGTCTATATAGATATAGACTATAGATAAAGAGCAGACTATGGATATCATCTAGCAGAGGACAACACGGTTAAGTAAACATACAAACACCACATGTAATGTTTATTTCTCATGATGGTTTTATTTAAGATACTACACACTAAACATACTTTAAAGGTATATGCCTTTATATGAAATGTCACTATAGGTGTTGATTGCAAAGATATGAGGGCAAATCTAAAAGTGGAACACGGCCGAATCTAAAGTGCACATCCCTTTGAAAAAACAGTCCAATGCCAGGAGTAGCACATATGCCAAAAATAGCCAAGCAAAGCTAGAACTCTGTGTAAAGGTCGATGTGAAACTTAAAACCCCAAAACTAAAGACCTCTCCAAAATCAACCCAATTCTCTCTGCTTTTCAAGAATATATCCACAAACATGCTCTGGGCTGATGAGGGTTTGAATCTGGAACTATCATGAACTATCATCATTGTGCTCTTGAGCAATAATCCCATGCTGATCAAGTCGGACGGTCCTTGTGAAGGTTGCTACTGTATTAGTCAATTTGGATTAAAATGTCAACTAATTAATAATAAATATACACTGCAGTTCAAAAGTTTGGGGTCGGTACAATTTAGAATGTCTTTGAAGACGAAAATGTAGTCTCTCACGCTCGCCAAGGCTGCTTTTATTTGACAAAAATACAGTAAAAAGAATGATATTGTGAAATATTATTAAAATTTAAAATAACTGTTTTCTATCTGAATATATTTTAAAATGTAATTTATTCCTGTGATGACAAAGCTGCATTTTCAGCAGCCATTACTCCAGTCAGAGTACTCATGATCCTTCAGTAATCATTCTAATATGCTAATGTGGTGCTCATTATTATCAATGTTGAAAACTGTTGTGTAGTCTCAGCCTCAGACGTCACGCCCACGGAACGTTGGCTAAACGTCTGATGCATATGGTACACTTAACTGGAAACACTTCAGGAATGTCGAAGTCGTCATCTGATTGGTTAAATTTTATCGGATTTCCGGGAGGCGCGAGTGTCGCGTTTATTTTCGGTCCGCCGGGAAACAAAGCGCAGACGTGTGATTGCGGAAGAAAAACTGTTGTGTTTACATGAGTGACAATGAGCATTTATCAAGATCAGCTAAACGTAGGATTCTCAAAAGTATGCGAGGTTCACGGCATAGACTCTTGAAGTTTTCTTCTCCTTCTTTTATTTTCTATGCTGACTGACTTGTTGCACGCCGGTCTGTTGTTGTGGGGACATTTCCACGCACCGAAACGTGACGCTGAACGAAACGAACTGTAATTGGTTGTTTTACATGTCGGTCAAACGGCCTTATGGGCGGGCCTTGGCCAAAGAAAGCTGCTATGAATTCCAGACCTTCAGCCGTCAGTCTGAAGGTCTGGCTACGCGAGACTAACTGTTGAGCTGCTTAATATTTTTGTGGAAACGGTGATGTAAAATTATTTACTATCACTTTTGATCAGTCAATCCTGGCTGAATAAAAGTATTATTATTATTATTATTTTTTTTAATCTTACTGACCCCAAACTTTTTAATAGTAGTGTATTTAAAATGTGTTATATATTTCAAATACACATTAGTTTTCAATAATTAAATTTGCTCAGTTGTGTCTCATTGCCCACATAAAAGTATGTGTCTCGTCACCCACCTCATTTGTCCCTGGCGGTCTTGGAAGTGCATTTTGGGTAAAACGACCCCTGGGCTTGTGTACATCGCCACAGGCATTCGAGAGTCCAGGTAGGCTGACTGCATCCACCAGTCAGAGAGCTGGATCATACAGAGGGAATAATTGAAATATTTGACAGTTCATTACACACGCAAAATAAAAGTACTGTGTACTTAAAAAAGTTAACTTTGTCAGTGGTTATTGTACTCTTTCGGATCCTGTTTTTACCAGAAGTTTTCATTCCAAAAACATGTCAAAGACATGTCAACAAACATAACAGGCAGAGAGCTGCCTCTACATTTTCTGATTGCCTCATTTTTTCTTTTGCTGTTTACAGATAATACAGATTTTTAGTAGTGTGTGATTTCTCAACAGACTTGTTTCAATAATATCTATCAGGAAGTAAGAATATTTTATGTGTGGTATTGAAAAAAAAATCAAAAGTATTTAGTAAAGTGCTAAAAGTAAATTATTATAGCTAGCAAATTATTAAAAAACGATGTGATTATACAGTTAGAATGAATTACGGCACACCAGCACACCCAGTTTTCGGTTTTGCGTGCCCGGCGCTCGAGGCTCTTCTGCAGTCTCTCTCCTACGCCACCGGGCTGGAGGAACTCCTTCATGAGCTGCTGCGTGTGTGCCATCTCCTCTTCGCAGATCAACGGCTCGAGCGATGCTATATACCGCGTGCATGTCTGCTTCAGCGGCGGAACGGGCAGCTTCGGCAGACTCTCCTGATGGACCAGCGACCGGTCAGAAATTTGAACAACCGGCACTGGAGTCGGTAGTCGGCAGGGCTTCACCAGCGCCGTCCTTGCCTAAAAATACAGATGATTATGAACATTGAATTGTTTTAATAAGACATGCAACATAATACTTGTACTCTGTAGAAGTGCGACTAAAAAATGAATACACTTTTTCTATTTTTACAAAAAATAAATAAATGTAGAGCTTAATAACATTATAGTATAATATTTTCTAACAAAAATGTATGACACCAAAATTTTAGAAAGCAGTGAAAATTCACATTCCTCTATTCCAATTTGATACCACAGCTAAAACTAGCTTATCTATACATTTAATAGCCTATATTTTTAAAGACAATTAAACAAACAGTCAGTAAAAAAATAAGAACAAACAATCAAATTAAAAGCAAAAGCACAAATAAATACAATACAATACATACGAGTGAAATAAACAGTACTCTTCAGGCAGGTCTAATAGTTTTCAGGTAGCGAAATTTAATAAAGTAGGCTAATCAAATAAATAACAATACATAGTCTTTATATCCTTTTTAAAGTTCAAGAGTAGTGAGTGTTTTTTTTCTTCTTTGTCCTTTGTTGTTTGGTTAACATTAAAAACACAGATAGCAGCAGATTTGTTAGGAACCTGTCACTTTAAGACTGAATGCATGAACAATCATGCGTTTTGTGTTTGTGTTCACTTAAGACATAACCGAATACATACACTAGAATACTCACCGAGACAAGCGTTTTTTGACATGATTTTGAGTAAATTTGCCCACTGAAGCACAGGAAGGCATGAAAGAGCTCAACTTTACGTGCTGTCTAGGAGACGCGTGGCTTTCAGGTCATGCGCTTCGGATGTTAAACTTCCCACAGCGCACGAGTAACACATTCCTTTTTGCGTGTTCCAGCGCTTGAATATACATTGGAAAGGCTGAAAATTTCGTGATGATGAAGCACTGAACTGTCAACTGTACAGAGTATCGTTCACATTTGTTCATGTTCATGTTGTCACAAAATTGACTGGCCAACTGGCGACTGACACTGTTTCATACACCAGCCAACGCCGATTTTTACCCTGGCGCTTGGTGAGTGTTAATTTTAGGCCTTGGAGGTCCCATTCGGCCAGAACTCGACGTCGTCGTTAGCGGAAACCAGTGATTATAGTTTATAAAGTTACAAAAACGCATGGCTTTGCTTCAGAAGGCCTTTATTAACCCCCTGGAGCTGTATGGATTACTTTTATGATGCATGGATGCGCTTTTTTGGGCTTCACATTTTTTTACCATTCAATACCATTATAAAGCTGGGAAGAGCCAGGATATTGTTTAATATATCTCCGATTGTGTTTGGATTAAACACAAAAGTCATATACACCTAGGATGGCTTGAGGGTGAATTTTTTGGGAGAACTAACCCTTTAACAACAAGCGAGTATGGCGTTGGTGTAAAAAAGCGTTGTGCCGGATCGAAAATGAAAATACCCCCAAATGAATTAAAATATAATATGTATACTGTTTTATTTATTTCAAGCAAATAGTATAACAACAGTCTTTTGTCTTTTATATTTTTATATTATGATATATTTAAGCAATATCACACAAACAAAAGTGCTATTTTCTCAAATATCAGCACGATTGCAAATTCATTTTAATACAGTTCAATAAACAATAAGTATTATAATTTAAATACGTTTTAAACACCGTATTCTCCATTTTGAATGGTTTTTGTTCTTTTTCACAAACTAAACAGAACAGTTGCGCCTGCAACATACAGAATGTTTTTTTGTTAATGAATTGAAAATGAATCAGCCTGTTTGAACGAATCAATGAAAGAATGACTCTTTGACTCACTTATTATTACCTTATACTTAGACCTTCTGCCACCTACTGGCGGTTTCAGTTACATATAAGTATCATATATCGAAAAGTATGATTTCATTTTTCTATATTCAAAATGTTACATTGAAACACTAATTTCATAACATGCAACTGTAATTGCAGTATGCATATAAATAATAATAGTGTAATAATCAAATCAAATAACTCTAATAATAAATAATAATAGTAAATAATACTAATAAATAATAGTATAATAAATAATAGTATTTTCTGTCATGCACCACTTTGATTTTGCTCATTTACTATTAACATAATGACAACAATGGACATATTTATTTGTTTAAATAAATATAATTTAAAGATGTTCTACAGTCTGTACTATAGTGTAAATTGTTATAGTAGGCTAATTATGACTAAGAGGGGTGCCCTTTATTTTTCCGCTTGAGCACCTGCCCAAATGTCTGTGCACAGCCCTTAAATAGTAATAAACTAGTTATTATTTTAATATTCTGCAGGTTAGGCGTCATATGTGCTCAAACGAGTTATTGTGCAATTCATTTATTCAATTTAAGTATCTTATAAATTCACTGTGTGTGTGTGTGTGTGTGTGTGTTTATATATAAAATCCCCCTAAAAGGTTATACAAAATTAAATTAAATAAAATGAAAATGTAGGTTATTCATTGGCAAATTCTGTTGTGGTATTGAAAACTGTGCTTTTACACGACGACCTTTCACCCCACTGTTTATAAACATGTAGCCTAACCTTGTTTACACAGAGTATTTCATTATATGATCGGCGATGTCCCGTTGTCAAAGTGCATGCAGTGGCATCCGTTTTTCTTGACAACTCTTGACATTTTGTTGCTGATTTGTCCTCTAATTATGTGGGTCATCACAACATGTCATAATTCACTCGTCGTGTTTTTAGATAGGCTACTCGTAACAACAAAATGACGCACAACAAATGCAGCTACAATGTTTCAGACCAAGACAAGACAATATAAGCGATGGATAAAAACAAACGCGCAGCACATCAAAACTGCATGGGCGTTACGGCTATTGGTTCATAATCATAACACTTGGCAGGCGTACAATTAACTGTTAACAGTTAAAATCAATGCGTTTGTTAACTAATGTATTGTACACTGATTAACCAGCACTCACCGCAGTTCTGGTCAGAACGCACAGCATGATTTCACGCAAATGATCTTGAATTCAACTGACAGCTGAAGAACAGGATCTCCCCGACATTATATGCGCTCCAAGGGCGACCAAAACTTTCTTGACAAGTCGCAACACGGGTCGCACACCCTCGCCCTCGCTCGGATAAGATTGACAACTGCAGCTACCAGTTTATTTTGCCCCTGAATGACTTGCACTAAGCTGGTGAGGCACCAAATAAAGAAAAAATGCTTTAAAGCTATGCGGTATTTATATAAAAAACATTTGTATCGATAACGTGTATATCTAAGTCCTTTATTTTGTCAGTTAAAATGTAGGGTGATATTTAAAAAGATAGCCTATGGGTAAAACAAATAAACATTGCCATCTGTCGGCCTATTTGTACGTTCACAACGTCATCGCTAAGCGACTATCAATGCATGTACTCTAAAAATATTTTCAGACAGGAATCTGTCAAATTGTTAATTGATCATTTACCTACCTATTTTTATTGGCCAAGAACATTAAGCTGTTTGCACTTATGTGTTGTGCTTTGTTTTTAAATAGGCCTATTATGAAACGTGTTTGTAGAGATTATGATTTTGCGAATCGATTCAGTCAATATGCATCGGCATATTTATTTATCCAATTGACAGTGTCAGACTCAAGTCCTCGCATACTTTTAGTGGACAAATATGTCCAGTAGGGTAAAATAAAACAACTCTACTTCCTCATGTATAAAACTTACGTAGATTAGATTTCATCCTGAGTTGTGAAATAAAAGCCCATATAGAGTTTACAACGCCTAGTTTACTATAATACATATCTTAATCGGCATGATTTTCATATGCATAAATTCTAATCCACGTGGGGGAAAAAATATTTTTTTTAACTTCTGGATAATCACTTTATGTAATTTGAGAGATGAACTCCGATAATGAGTGTAATATTTATTGTAGGCTATAATAAAACAGTTTAAATCATTATGTTTACTTCATTGCTCTCTCCAAGAATGCGTATGCAGGGTCTAGTGCGGACGCGGTGCGCATATATTTTACAATAATTTTATTTTTTATAAATCTCGATATTTGCGTGGAAAATTGCGTACGCAGATTTCAATGCATTTTTTTGTGCGTAAGCAATGTTTATACATCAGGCCCTATTTCATTGGTTCTACAGACTGTAAAAAAGAGTTCTACACTGTCCTTCTGTCACGGACAAACTGCGTAACCGCTCTGACGTCAGCTGTTTATCATGGAGGAATATGCCCGTGAACCCTGGTAAAGTACATCCTGACTTCACTTCTGACGGGTCCGCACTTCAGCTGTTATTTGAAGCAGTTTATATTCTCAATAGTTTTCGTGTCGTGCATCGGTTTTCTAAGCTGACATTCAGACACATTGTTGACACTTTACACCGTGTGTTAAATGCTATCATGTGGGATATCATCTCAGCACTAAAGAGGCACAATATACTCGCTTTTTTCCTTCACTGACAGATTTAACTATTTGTTCGTTGACATAATAAAACGATTTATCCTTGTAAAGCCATATGAAATAATAGTAGACTAACTATTTGTTTATAATAAAAATCATCCCTGAAAATACATGAAATAATAGAAAATCATATGAAAATCTATAGTTTTAAATGGAGCAGTTTATCGAATTGTTAGGTAAATATAAAATAAAATTTTGCCTGTGTGTTTTTATTTTGTGTATCATATTTGATACATCAGTCTTTTATGGCTCATAGTATGTTATGTGAGAACTTGCTCATAGTCTAGGAGAAAATATACACCTCAGTTACATTCAGAGGCTCAAGCAGAGCATAAATATGTAATCAATGAGATCTTTATAACAATATAACAGACTACTTACATAAATTATAATTACATAAAAAAAACAGTTATCACTCTATATCTCTCAATAATATGTCTTAGAAGATGATGTTTAAGTGCTTATTTTTTAGTTTTTTAATTGTGGTGGGCAAAACATAAAATGCAATTCAATACAATGATGTTTGAGCACCTATTGTATCATATTTGATAGACACATTATGATTTTTGTAAAACAATAACATATGGATAATCAAGTAAACCTAAGTTGCTTCAGGCCAGGAAATGTTTATCTTGAAATATTAATAATAATAACAATAGAAAAGAACAATATTCTTATGTTTAATTTTTTGAGAAATGTTACAACAAAAAGATCTGAAGGGGGGACATTTTTAGAGTAATATTAAAAGGCCTTTTACTTACAAAAAAATTATTCACTATCAATTAGAGGGCAGAAGGCATGAAGAAGGTTTTGTACAACAGGGTTTTCAGCAATGTTTTGTGTGTTGGTAAAAAAATTAATGCATCACATATGATGCAGTGATATATTAACTTAATAACAGCTCTATTATCTAATCTTTTTTTTAAGTCCATGGAGGATAGTTGATGACTGTGGAGGTGCATTTACCATGGGGGCAATTGGAGGGGGGGTGTTCCAGTCAGTTAAAGGCTTTCGGAACGCACCTGTGGTATGCTTCACTGACACAAATAAAACAACTGAGCTCAGCCATTACTATCACTAATACACAATACGATACATTTACTACTAATAAACATCCTCTGTTACTTTAGGGTGTTCGACACAGGCTAAGAGGGAGCGCAAATGCTGTGAGAGTAAGAGCACCACAAATTGGAGGTGATGTTGCACAATAATGTTTTGTATTGTTTCTTGGTCTGATCTTGTGTGGTATAAAACTGTTGTGTATGACTAGTTTTAGCATTTTGTACTGTATACATATCAGTGATTCATTAATCACTATAAATTGTGGCATGGGTTCTGTGTCTCTTGCAGGTAGTTTTGCTGTGTGGGGTGGACTCTTTTCCACCATAGACTGTGGTCTTGTGCGTTTACGGGGTAAGGAAGACCCTTGGAACTCCATCACTAGTGGAGCCATGACTGGAGCTATACTGGCTGCACGCAGTAAGATTAGCATAGTGGTTATTATTCTATTATCAGTATTCTTCCATAGTATTAGACATTAATGCTGTGTTCACATTTACCATTGTTCAGCAAAATTTCAGTCAAAATCCAGTCATTTCAATGGGAATCCGTGCGATTGGGAATTTCGTATCAGGGTGAAATATTTTGCCTCACAGATTTTGCATTATGTGATTTCGCCACGTTGACCAACAGAAAGCTGCATGCTTTGAAGTGACTTCTGTGTGAGCAGTGCTTCATACAATTGCTATGCTAGTAATAGATGATTGACCTTTTTTGCCCCACAAAATTTCGGCCTGACTGCACAATACAATAATAATGTGACTGCTGGAATACACTACACAACCTTTAAAAACTGAAGAGATTTTAAAACATCAGGCGTCATATACTTGTCAAATGGTTACAAAGGAAAGCCTGGGAATCACACACTACCAGACTTTCAAGTCATTCCATAAACAACAAACTCACACTGAAACATGCGCCTCGTTGCTAGGAAATGCATGACAAATGAAAACAATGGACCACTTACACTGAGCTTCGTGACACACTTCCGTTTGAAAATAGTACATCTCACCAGGGCTGGACTGGAACAAAAAATCGGCCCGGGCATTTTGGCCCAGACCGGCCCACTACATATGATTATAAAGACAACCGAACTTTGCACGCCCTTGAATATGTATACCAACTCCTATTAAAACCAGTAATGCCATGTAATAACTGAATCAAGATTTAGTGAAATCTGTGGTGAGTGCACCTCTGTCCCCCTAGGGGTGTTCGGGGGCATGCTCCCCCGTAAGAAAATTTTGTGCTTTTTAATGTTAAATTCATCAATCTGGTACACTTTGAGAGTTCAAAATAAAGAGCTCCATCCCATATTCAGTGTGCAAATTGAACAAAGAAAAACTCAAAACTCTTTTAGTTGTGATATAGTGTCTGTATACATTACACTAGTTATAATATTAATCCTATGGCAGTAATAGCCATATGTTGTAAAACAAATGCACTGAAAAATAAAAGCAACTTTCATAATTAGTTTCGTACTAATTTCTATACTTGAAAGAGATAAACAACTGATCTTTTATTTTGACGGAAACGGCATCAAGCTTTTATTTTGGCGAAAAACATGGTTTACAAACTCGTCTCATTACAATTCTAATAAAATGCGTAATCATCAAATATGCAGATGTGGAAATAATGCGTAACTGGGTAGTGGGTTCCAACATAGCCTAAGTGTTCTGAAAGTAGCCTAGTTCTGCTTACCACAGTTCTCTACACTCACTTATTTCTCTCCTTATCCTCCTTACTATCCTCATCAGCCACTTGAAGGGCCTTTGAAGTTTCTCTTTTTTTCACGCTATTTCACTGCATATTCCTTGCGTTTCTTCTCCATCGCTCTGACTATTTTGACAGATACACACTGACACTGCTCGCTCACTCGCTATTTAAAGATGTGATTGGACCAGCCCAGTGTCAATCAAGAAAATAACCAATGGGCCGCTGATCTACGCGTTTTATCATGCGCCGGTCTGTGAGAAAAAAAAAAATACCTACGCTGACTTTTTTGTCCAATGCATTACACCGGCACAAAGATCCCAGAGCCGCCAATTAAACAAAACTAAACGCAATGGGCCGCCGATGTACGAGTTTTATGGGCCGTTCAGACAAAAAAATAAAAAAATAATTAAAGTACGATATGTATCGGCCCACCGGGAAAATGCCCGGTATGCCCGATGGCCAGTCCAGCCCTGCATCTCACTTATTTCCGGGTATGTTTGCTTTCAATGTACTGTGGTCATTGCTTTGAACAAACGCCGCCTAAAATGAGTATCCGCAATACGATTTAAAAATTTGGAAATTTTTATAGACAGGAGAAGGGATAATTCTGATGTTTACTGTGTGCAGAATTTTCCAAACTCATCGGAACATAATTATTAATCCAACCCAAGCCGATCTGAGAAAGCAGCGGCTGTTAAACATACGCCATTGTTTCACCACAGGGTTGTCAGTGTTCGTCTAAACTAGTGACCGTGATGCTGAAGTGTGTGAGAACAGATGAATAACATGAGTATGAACAACAAACATTTATTTATTTGGATTAAATATTCGAATCATTCTGTGTCCTTTTTCAAAATCAATCTTTTCCTAATTAATATTCAAAGTAGTTGACTGTCATTCTCCTCTACGCTGTGGCGTTACTGTTAAAGATTAATTAAATAGCATAGTTACAGGCACCTACTGAGCATTCATTCATTCAACTATTTTAAAAGACTGGAATAAAACACCAACCCACACAAGCAATCCTTTTTATTAAGTCAAATTCATTTAAAAATGTAAACTCAATAGGTATGAAATATCAGTACGAGAAAAACGCTGTTAATGAGAAGACGAGCACTGGACTGCTGCAGGTTAGTGGATAAATATATTTAGCCAATGTATTATTCAGAATATATATTTATAGGAACATTCTGCAGGCTCAAGATAATTAATACAGAGATCATCATTTATTGTTTTAAGCAATTGGCAACCATAAAACGTAGTGATAATCTGCATTCTCATGTATGTAGGTTCGCGGAATGGAAACTCCCGATATGTACTAAGTAGAACGCGGACGTAGTTGTGCAAGTAGTCCATAGGGGCCAGATTTACCAACAGCTTGCGCCAGCGCAAACCCTCTTTTGGTGTTAAAAAACTATCTGGATTTACTAAAGACACGGAGTGAAAAATTAGCACTGAAAGACATGGACAGGGTTATTTTTGCGGCTGACCTTATTTCATATGCATTTGTAGGAGTTTCCCTTTCAAACGCCAAATTTATGGGTGGAGAGTATTCAAATGAATTATGCAAGGTGATTTACTACGGTTTGCGGTAGTCAATTTACTGGTATTTTTGCTATTATTTATTATCTTAAACCAGATGCTAAATTGCGCTGCTCTTGGTAGATTGCATTGATCATTATGGAAATGATCCAGCTACATCTGTGCTCTTTAATTTAATTCCACTCCCATCAGCGCTTTTTTGGAATTGCGCTCTCGCGCTTATTTGCCCTGTTTAGTAAACCTAGCCCTATGTGTTCTAAAATCAGCACAAAATATCAAATATGTTTGATATCCTCAGACTGGATGGAATCAGAGTCTGAAGCTAAAAAATCTGTGCCAATCGAGCACTGCACGATTTCTACACAAAACCTGTCAACTCCGACTGCCCAAAGTCTGCAGGCATGGCTCTAAATTTAGGCAGCTAGTGTTGACTCGTCCATACTGCAAATCAGGCAAAACATCTGAGCTAAAGTTGTGTAGTGTATTCCAGTCTTTGACATTTGAGGTATAATGACCAACTGGAAATAATCTTATGATAATCTGGACTGTTCTGTATTAGCATACATGCTGCATAAATCTTTAATCTTGCAATTACCTCTGGATCATTGAAAATGTGTTTGCAATGTTTGTATTTCAGGTGGTCCACTAGCCATGGTGGGCTCTGCAATGATGGGGGGAATTCTGCTTGCACTAATCGAGGGCTTTGGGATACTTCTTACTAGATATACAGCACAGCAGTTTCAGAATCGTGAGTTACACAATACACTCTTAAAAATTAAAGGCTTCTTATTTACATTGATGGCTTCATGATGAACCTTTAACATCCATGGAATATTTCCATTGCACAAAAGGTTCTTTACAGTAGTAAAAGTTATTTAGATTATTGAAATATTCTTCTCACTAAGAAAATAAATTGTTCTTTTAATTTGTTTTCTAAAGCCCCCCTGTGGTAAAAATCAAGCTTTTAATGTTGTTTATATGTCTATGTGGTGTTTTTAATATGCTTTCAGACAAACCATGTGCACATTCACAAGTCAACAGCATTGCTGAGTATTTTCTCCTTAAAATTGTAGTGAACTAAAGACAGTCTCAAAAGCGCTGTCACAAACTAACTTGTAAACCAATCACATCAACGTGTGATGATCGTCAACGAGTGGATCTCTTAGCTGGTGTGAGTGAGTGGAGATGGGGCTAATTTGCATATTCCTAGAACCAAGCTATTCAAGCTATTTTAAGGCATGAGTTTTTTTTTTTTAAGGAAAACGCGTTTAAATTTCAATTGATAAGTACAAACCGACACCATTGTTCGTATCACTGTGTATCAAGTGTTGAGCAAGCCTCCGGAGCTGAAATTCAGATATGGTAGGCGTTTCGTTTCCGACACACGCTGTAAGAAAAGAAGAGAGACTGAATCTTTTACATGCATCCAGAAGTTTTTGGATCCATGTAAACCTATTGTAGGAGACCTCTAAAACAAAATTAACTTTTAAAATAGCATAATAGGGGGACTTAAATAAAAAAAAGTTCATGGGGTTCTCGAAATGGTTCTTCTATTGTATCGCTTTGAAAAACTCCTTTTCAAACCTTTATTTTCAAAAGTGTAGGTCTGGGTGATTCAGAGAGTTGATTCATTTTAGGAATTATTAACACAACAATACAAATTTTGTCATGTTGTTCCAAATATCTGTGATTGTTCTTTTTTTGAGGTACACAAAGTATATCTAAAACACATTAATTGTTTTGCAAAAACAGCTAAGATATTTTTATTCATGCACAAACTATTCCTTTCATTTGGAGCCCCGCGCAGGAAGAAAATATAGATATGATATTGTGGTCGTGGATTAAGAATTCATTTCGACGACATTTTAATTTGTTGCCTTGTTTTATTAATTTGTGTAAATCATGCCAAGATTGTACTAATTCATGGCAATGTAACAATTTAACTCAATTAAAATGGGGGAATTGACCTAAAACGAGAGTTCTGAATTCATGGCCACGATATCTTGTTTTTTTTACCTGCGTGTCAGGTGCGGTGCTACATACTTTAAAACCCTGTGATATTACATAAATAATTTGTAATAGATTATGAGATTTTTATACCTTTAGTTTTGTTCTGCACTTAGTTTTGTTGAAGCTGCATCAGAGGTGTTCACTATCTGCATCTTCTCTTCATCTACAGCGAGTCCCTTTGTGGAGGACCCGAGTCAGCTTCCTCAGAAAGAAGGCCAAGAGAGACGTGGTTATGGACAGTATCAGTAAAACCACTGTTTTGCAGTGGATACTGTAATATTATAGACTGTGAATAAGAGAGGATCATCATAGTTTACAATACCCTCCAGAGACAGGGGATACTCCTGAATCCTCTTTATCCTCTATAGAGTATTGCTGGGATGGTGTATTTTTGTAGGCCAAAACCTGGAAACGAGTTAGCATTGTAGCACTGGTTAAAGTCAATTGTTTTGGTTAAATGCTTGAATTAAGGTCTGTGGTGAACACAAACTCAAGATCTAAAACCCCTTTTATTCTACGATATAAAATATATCAGTAATATCATCTTGTGATTTCTCTTTTAAGCTTTTACTTGTCTTGTAAAAGGCGGTTGCTAACAAGTGGCTAAATGGGACTACAGAGGTTGTCAGGGACATTAAACGTCATCAGCCGAAGAGGTAAACTCATCTACTCACTAGTCCACTTCCACAGCCTTATTGCGTTTATAATCGGCTCTTACAAACTATTATAACTCGAACTTTCAGGGAAAATGTTTTTAACCAAAGACCAAAGTTGTCAGAAGCTTATGGTGATGTTGAAGTCATGCGACCGTGGTGTAGTTCTGCTGCCTACGTTTTGCTTTTGACTTCTGCCGGTTGTATTTACGCTTCAAAATTCATTCAGTTGTGTTCATTCGTGAATATTATCATGATGAACACAACGTGTAAGAATCATAAGCTTTTGTTTGTCACAGACCTTATTTTCTGCAATAATTCAATGGACAAATCATATTGGGTTTTTGAAGATGATGCTAACTTCCAGGTTGTCCTAAAAAATATGTCAGCCCTGCACCACTATTAGATGGCCACTCAGGGGAAAGCAGCATGTAATTTGTATTATGTTTAAATTGTAATATACACTTGTATTTGTAAGGAAAAATTGTCACCCAAAGATTTTTGTCAAGTTAATTCAGGCTTGTTTGAACACTTCGTAAGACAAATATACTGTATAAATGTGTGCTAGAAAAAGACTCTGCGTTACAGCACTTTACATTTTGCCAGACTAACTAGATCAGTTGGAGAAATTCTGGATATGTAATTAATTGCAGAGACATGAATAATGATTCCTATGAAAGTTAATATGAAATCATTTATATTTTGCTATATTATCACTGATACAGTGTTATGCAGACAAGGCTATGCAAAGCTCCAGGGCATTTTTATATTACTTTTATCTTAATCTAATACACGACCTGGACTCTTCATACACCAGAAATCTCTTTGAGATTTTGCTTTAGATCTTCTAAAGTTGTTACAATTTTGATCTTTCAAAGACTTTGGATCTTTTCCATTCCAGTTACATAGCCTCTCCTGCATTCTTTACTAATAAACTGAAATTAATTCATCTCCAATACATAACGTGCAGTCAAAAGAGACACTGCTCAAAGTCATTTAATCTCTCTAGTTTGGTACTGGTATTTTTCCAACACTCTCTATTACAATCTTTGTGGAATGTTTTGATGGATTATTTATTTTTTGGAGCACTTTAGAGACAAGTATAAGAGAATATGTATGTATAAGTAACCTGTCTCAATAAAGAATTTAATGGTTTATGTATTGGCCTGTATTGTTTTAGAGATGCAATTATAATGGTGCTGGAACCCTATTGTTTTTTACTGTTTTGCCAAATATTCTTTTTCTGCCCTAAAAGTGTTTGGACGTCTGAGACCATAATTCATAGAGACTCCAAACTTGGTGGGATGGTTTGACTGGAATCAATCCCATTTTCCTCTGAATCCTTAAGTCAAGCCCTACAATAATCTATACATCTGATTTTGTTTACTGTTTTTTCACCATTTATAATTTTCTGAAAAAAATTCAGTTTTTCCACCTATGGTGTTCCTATAGCCATAGGTGGAACCTGAGTTCCACCTATTCCTCAAAGCAGAGAACTGCTCCTTCCATCAACCCTCAGTGCAGTTCCTTGGTTACAACATCAGTGACCAGGGTATCCAGAAGGTGGAGGCCATCAAGAACTGACCCACACCAACTACCATCAAGGAACTCCAACGTTTCCTCGGCTTCGCCAACTTCTACAGACATAGTTATAGCTCCATCACTAGCCCTCTCACCAGTCTGTTGAAAAACAAGCCCAAGTCTCTGTCCTGGTCACCATCTGCCACAAAGCCTTTACCTACTCAAAGAGACATTCACCAATGACCGCTCCTCATCCACCCAGATCCAGAGAAACCATTCATCGTGTAGGTGGATGCATCCACTACCGGGGTAGGTGCGGTGTTGTCTCAGCAGCAGGGGACCCCAGCCAAACTCCATCCATGCACCTTCTTTCCCAAAAAACTCAGCCCGGCAGAGATGAACTATGACGCCAGCAACCGGGAACTCCTTGCCATCGAGCTAGCCCTAAAAGAGTGGAGGCATTGGCTGGAGGGTGCACAACATCCTTTCACTGTACTAACCGATCACAAAAACCTAGAATATTTGAAAGTTAAGAGACTTAACCCCCGCCAAGCACATTGGGCTTTATTTTTTACTCGATTTAAAAGCTGATGCTCTTTCCTGCCTGCATACTCCTGAAGAAGTCAGCAAAGAATCTGAGCCCATCCTGCCAAAGAAACTGATCGTGAGTCCCATTCAATGGTCATCTAACACAGCCACCTCCTCCAATGCCTCCACCGCCGCTCTGCCGGGCTACCCACCTGGACGTCAGTATGTCACCAGAGCACAACACACACCTCCAGTCCACTTATCTCCGGGCACTGGCTACCCAGGGGCCAATATAGTACCCTCTCGCCAGGGGCCAATATAGTACCCTCAATAGTACCCTCTCGCTTAATGACTGAGACAAATCAGATACAATTATTTATTATATTTAACAAATAAACTTTAAAACTCACTCTGGGATCTATGGTCCCATCTCCCCAACTAGGGCAAGAACCATGACTACCATCAGATAAGATGGTTTTATTGCTGTTAAAAATGTGGTCATGTGGACAAGACAGAGCCATAGGAAAGACAAAAACAGACCTTAAAACAGACTTCCCTGCATTAATTTATAGACGAACTGATCTATAAATGAACATGCATCCCAGAACATTGTGTGAATGATTTACTGTCTTGTGTAGTGTCTTTTAATTCTTTTTTTTTTTATATACTGTGTATTTTATGATCGAACTAATCAGTCAATGTAACCTCACCTATACCATGTTTGGTCTCTATAAATTGGTACTTTGAAGATCGAAATGATCATGTATATGATATGTCGATAGCTGCGCAACATATTAGTATTACAAGAATCTTTCATCGTTTTTTCATCAGCAACCAATCCAGCTGCACATGCAAATGAGCATGCTTGAAACTAAGATCCAAAGATTTTCCCGCTTGGAAATTCCACCCTTCTCATTGGTCTCATGACGGACCTCCCGCCTTCAGATGGTGACATGCATATTGGTAATCATTGACCGACTCTCCAAATCTTGTCATCTTCTCCCCCTCAAAGGACTTCCCACAGAGATGGAAACAGCAAAACTCCTCTTCAATCATATCTTCAGATATTACGGAATCCCAGAAGACATCGTTTCTGACCGTGGACCCCAGTTCATCTCCAAGGTATGGAAAGCCTTCTTTTCCCTCCTAGGTGTGACCGTAAGCCTGTCCTCCGGATACCACCCCCATTCGAACGGGCAGACAGAGAGAAAGATCCAGGAGATTGGCTGTTTCCTACAAACCTTCTGCCATGGCCACCAAAATTCTTGGAACCAGTTCCTAGGCTGGGCAGAGTATGCGCAGAATTCTCTCCGCCAGCCCACTACTGGACTCACTCCCTTCCACTGTGTACTCGGTAATCAGCCACCATTGTTTCCTTGTTCGGGAGTCTGTCGACTACTGGTTTCGAAAGAGTGAGAGGGTCTGGGACGCAGCACACCACCAGCTGCAGCAAGCAGTGCAGGATGACAGCCGACCTTCGTCAATCGGTAGCTCCCTCCTACCAACCTGATCAAAAGGTACCCTACCTGCAAGGGCTCCTACACCAGCAGATCTGCCAGGCTCCTACACCAGCCAATCACAACGCACTCCCTCTCCTGAATACTAATCACACACACCTGCACCTCATCCCCTCAGCAATAAAAGCACACACCTCGCCCCAGCTCATTGTCCGGTCTCGTTCCTGAACGAAGTGGACACCTACCTTGTATCCTCCAGCGATTGTCAAGCTATTCCAGCGAACTGTCTCCAGCGTTTCCTTCAGTATTTCTCCTGTGATCCCTCTACAGTGTCTTCTCAGTCCTCCGTGTCTCCGTTACCATCTGCTTTTCCTGTTGTTCAGCGAGGTGAGTGCATCCAGCCCATCATCCATTCAACCATCCACCATCCTACAGTCCTGTAAGAAAAGACATTCCATTCACCGCCTGATTCCCGCTCTCCAGATTATCCATTGAACTACTAACTTACCTGTTTGCTTTATCACTGGTCATTGTTGTCTAATAAACCTCCTGTTTACTTTCATCCTCCTTGTCTAAGTGTGCTTCTGTAACATAAATGTAGTATGCGAGGAAAAAAACGTAATCTTCTTTGAAAGCAAGATTGGGTTTCTCCCCAGCATATCAGATTTTACCCACAATCACTGTTCTTGACTTCAATAAAAACTTTAATTCTATTTTAAATCTTTTAATATGAAACACATGAACTACAAACAGGCAACTCTTTTTTATTTTCTATCAGCCAGAGTTGAATCTCGGTTGTGGCCCATTCTGACCATCTCTGCAGATGGCGATACTAGCTGATTTAGATCCAGATTTAAAGAGGGAATGCCTTGTTTGGACAGAGAAACTGGCTGCAGCAATTCTATAATGTGGTGTTGCACATATAATAATTGATGAATGCATCAATGTTAAGCAAGAAACAAGTGAATTTTTTCTTCTTCGATTTTCATGTTAAAAAAAAGAAGAAGAGTAAAATATGCAAACAAAAAGCCTTTATTTCCATCTAAGCACTGCGAAACATGCCCAAACATTTGCTGTCCAGTGTTCTACTAAAGAAAACAGCATAATATGTATTTGTCTGTGTAATTAATTAGGAACTGTGTTTTTCTTTTCGAAGTCACACTTTTGCTGGATGCCTGGATCACAAAACACTTGCTTGAATCCAGTCTGAACATTCCTGCATTCTTGTGAAATGACTGTCCCATAAAAACACAAGTTGAAATTTGGAGAATCAGGTTTCCTTTGATAAAACAAAGTTCGATATAAAAGGCTATGGCTCATTTTTCAAAAGCGAGAAAGGATATGCGCCTATTTCTGGTTTCCATTCAATAATATTCTTGTATTTTTCTTTGAAAAAATACTGCTCTGAGAGGAAAAATTCACTATACAGAAATAGGCTCTGGTTTTCAGATATGCTGAATGCGGTTAAAAAAAACATCATAACATTTCCGGAAGAGGCCAGAATAGGGTGCTTGTATTAGTTGGCTTTGGCTCGAAGCTGGGCTCTTTTGCCAGTGACAGCCTGGAATCCAGTCTTGATGCTGGCTACAGAGCAACGTGAGTGACAGGTTTCACACTGCAGGAAGTAGAGACGTGTATCCTTCTGCAGAATTGTATCCGGTGAGCGGCAGGTATGACAAGTCACATATTCCTCTGTGAAAAAGAGAAAAGAGAAAATGCTGTCAAAAATCTATTAGGAAAACTAAACGTATTAGCAGAAAACAATGCAGAGTTCTTCACATCTAAACCAAAAGAGTAGTGGAATGATCTAAACACTATCATACGACAAAATACTACATTTGAAAAGGAGGTCACATTGAAATTTACATGAAACTATGGCTGCACAATTATACTTTATTTAACCAAGATTCCAAAGCATAAATCATAGGGAAAGATGTTACTCACTAGCAAATGACAGAAAGATGTTTCACTTGCATGGACAGTTAAATCGATAAAGTGCTAATGATTACAGCATACATTAACTGCTTTTAAAATGTTTAAGAAGTGATATTCGGTTTATCTGAACATTGTCAAATTAAATTGTATGTAGGGGTGTTTGATGAGAGGTAATGGCACAGTACATACAGGGTTTGAACAATAAAACTGAAAGGGATGCAAACGGTTAATCGATTATAGATTAATTGACGACAAAAATTTTCTCGATTAAATTAAATTAATTGTCGGCTAATTGAACATTGCGAACGTGACACGAGATTTTCACGCGAGAGAGCCGACACAAACTTGAGGCGGCAAAAAAGAAACCAAACATGAGGCGGTCAAAACGGAGTGGAGTGCATCGATACTGACTACCAACTATACAGCTGCTAACCTCGAAAATCCAGCTGTATTCTAACAATAACTTAGCTCATACCTGTCAACACTCCCGTTTTTCCCGGGTTTCTCCCGTTTTTTAGCCCTATCTCCCGGACCCCTCCCGGTTTGTTATTTTTCCCGGGAAACTAATCTAACTGTCGGTCACACGTTCCACCGTCCACATCGTTTACTTAATAAACAAAATAAGATAAAAATTAGCATCAAACAGAAATTACCCGCATACATGGGGTGTTCGTATAGACAGTAAAAGGGGTGTTCGAGTCGCACGGCACATACAATACAATACTGCCGACAGTACAACAGGGAGCGCGCAGGATTTTTATTCAGTATATAAGCAATATTTTGCTTTTTATGTTAAATTGATACCGTGAGAAATTTACATTCTCAGGAAAATAGCCGCTTATCAGTTAATCGTTAATCGATCGATAAGGTTGATCAACTAATGATTAATGAATTAATCGATAATTTGCATCCCTATGAAATACTGATCAATATAGTATAAGAAGTTCATGTCTATATATGTGCATATATAGGTGGTCAATCTTTTTTTAGATTTTACATTCCACTAGTAAGACAAAGAGTAAAAGGTTGAATTAGCAGAGCAATTGCACTGCTGTAAATAAAATATTGCAATCCACACAACATAATGGGAGACATTAGAGTTCAAAAGAGAACAAATTGTTGGTGCGTGTCTCGCTGGCTGATCTGTGACCAGGACAGCAAGCCTTTGTGGTGTATCAAGAGCCATGGTATCCAGGATAATGTTGATATACCACCATGCAGAATTAAATGCGCACCTCGAATCTCCTGTTTCCACCAAAACTGTTCATCGGGATCGCCACAGATTCAATTTTCATGCTCGGACGGCTATAGCCAAACCTTTGGTCACTCATGTCTTTGCCAAATGTCGGTTTCATTGGTGCCAACAGTGCAAATCTTGGGCTGTGGACAATGTGAAACATGTCCTTCACTGTCTTTCCCACATCCGAGGGAGTTACGGTGTGGAGAAGCCCCAAAGAGGCTTAACACCACTGATCTGTATAATGACCATGCACCATCTCGGAAATAAAGCAGTCCGCGTTATTTGTCTGAATAAGTTGATGTATTTTATTTCCTGAATGAGCAACATCTATTTCAGACTCTTAAAGACAGCACAATCTATGGCGTTTTTACTAGAATTAGTTTCCATATGAGTAAAGTGTTATGTAGGCTGTTTGTTATTGAATAAACTATTAATTGAAAAAAACTATTAATTACACAATTTAAATACATAAACGCAACAGTACAAGGCGATTTCAGATTACAAGGCATACATCTTTATTCCGATTTCAGAATGCGCACTTTGACATTTGTAATACATGCTGAAGTGTCTCGTCCGCCCGCCGAACTGATGTTCACTACTGTAATGAATATGAACGAAACCTTTTAATAAGTAGGGGAACTTCCAGACTTTAAACAAATAACCATTTAAATGCTTAGGACGTTTGCGTTGATATAAAGATACTTCAGATATTAAACCGGTGTCTCGTTAGTCAATGTATTCTCAGTAAAATCATATAATTTCCTTTTAACACAATAGAAGGCATGAGCTTACTAGGGAATATCAATATGGCGGCGCGGTGGCGTCACTTTTTATGACATCATGAGCAAACCAGTTGTCTATATAGATCAGTGCTTAACACCCAAACTGTTATGTGCCAAGAGTGAAGCAGGGAGGTGGATAAGTGGTGGTTTGAGCTGCATTCCCTACCAGGGGTGGCACGGTACATGAAAAAACACCCGAACCGTTCGGTTCGCTTGTCTCGGTTCGGAGCGTGTGTGCGTCTCACGGTTCGATGCGTGTGTGCGTCTCACGGTTCGATGCGTGTGTGCGTCTCACGGTTCGATGCGTGTGTGCGTCTCACGGTTCGATGCATGCGCAATGTAGCCTCGTGCCCGTATGTGACCTCAGACGTGTGTTTCCTTTTCGCACAAAATAAGACGTGTGTGGACATACATATGAGGCTTGTTCGACTTGAACCGGCGCTGCACAGAGCGATCGGTGAATAACATCAAAGTACCGCGAGAGCGACGGCTCCGTATGCTTTTCAATCACTCTCGCGGTACTTTGATGTCATAAACCGATCGCTCTTCAAGTTGAACAAGCCAGTAAAGGTGGAGTATGGAGTGTCAGGTCACGTCACGCGTAGAAATGGCAAGTGGGAGAGATAAGGAAGGCTAACGAGGATGCGCCAGCGTCGTATAAGTCCGGTGTGTGGGAACATTTTGGATTGAAAAAAATTTATCCTCACTCTCAGGGAATAAAAGCATTGTTGATACTGTTTTTGTGTTGAGGTTGAACTTATGTTTCACTTTATGATTATGGCCTTTGCTATTGCTATAGCCTAATTATAGTAAATTATGTTTCATGTATTTTGACTTATTTAAAAGACAGAGTTTTAAGAGTTCCTCTCTTGGCAGTTGGCAGTTTGATAAATGCAAGTTAATTTCAATCTTTGTGTGCTAAAAATGCACATAAGTTCCTGTAGAGAAAGTGATACACATTCTCCTTTTTTTGCCAAATAAACGAAAAGCATGTCATAAATATCTTCTCTCTTGCTGTATCAAAATATCACCTAGCTTTCCTCGGAGATGGTCCCAATAATGTGCTTAAAGTCAAGTCAAATTCAGTTTGTGCATGATATAACATTTTTTTTAATACTGTATATCCTAAATTGTGGATAATTAAGCTATATATCATATGCTGAAGTACATTTCTGGAGTGTTAAAGATAAAAAAAAAAAAAAAAAAAGAACCGTACAGAACCGAAAACCGTGACCCTAAAACCGTGATACAAACCGAATCGTGGGTTTTGTGAACCGTGCCACCCCTATTCCCTACTGTGCTTGATGCATCACTGACAAGGACTACTGAACCATTCTGGAGGACCATGTGCACCTAATGGATCAAATGTATCCTGAAGGGGATGCCATGTATCAGCATAATGCACCAATACACACATCAAAGTACAGGGTTCGTAAAGAATACTGTAAAAGGAAATTCCAGGACTTCAAGCACTACTTTTTTGGTTTCCAAGGAGTACAATTAGAGATCTCACTTATCAAACAATATCTTTATTATCTTTCAATTTCTAAAAAAAGGTTTAAAAAAAAAAGCTGCGTCAAATACTTGAAATATATGTGCAATATCACGCTCACAGCCATGTGAAATGGCATATCTATATCAGATGCGCTGCAGCGTAAATTTTGCGTGAAAAGACCCCACTTTAGGGTAATTAGGAGGAGCAAGTTAGTAAACGTTTTCCTCCACCAGCATCACATAGTGACCTAGTGGCCACTGTTCTGGAAGAAAAATGGCTCAAAATCCCTCCGGCCACTGTGCAGGTCTTGTATCAATCATTCCCAAAACTAATTGATGCTCTATTGAATGCAAAAGGAGGCCCTACACTAATAATAAATAATTCTAATTTATTTTACTAATAAATTATTGTGGTCTAAAACCAGGTGTTTCAGTTTCATTGCTCAACCCCTGTATATTAGCATGTAGTATTGGAACACCAGCTACATATTCATACAGTGGCGTAGTTTTTTTTTGGGTGGGGTTTTTGGTCATTGGGGTATGGGGTAGAGGGCTGCATTGGGATTGAGTCCCGCCAGGTCCCGTGGGACCCAACGCAAATCTCGCCGGAGCGGGCGGTTTTAACTTTGCTGCGGGCGGGAATGGGCGGTTAAAAAAAAACAACTGTGGGATCGGGAGATAGCCTAGCGACATGATGGAGATGTCAATGATGTGGAAAAGAACCTCAAACGAGGTATTTACAGCACAAAACCTAAGCAAGGCAAGTCTGACATTTGGACTACTATTCATCTTCCTGATCAGTGCGTCCGAATACATGCAGGCCAGGGAAACAAAACAAACAACCCCATTAATCTCTTTAATAACAGCAATACAAATACGTGTTTTTTCCTGCGGGACGGGAGAAGACACAAAGTCAATGCATCTCTATTATTGCGCGGGAATAAATTCTCAGAGTTTTGCGGGAGCGGGCGGGAGTGGACATGCATATTGCGGGAGCGGGCGGGAGTGTAACACATACGTCGCGGGAGCGGGCGGTAATGGTCAGAAATTCGGCGGACGGGAGCGGGATGAAGAAAACAGTCCTGCGCAGGACTCTAGTATGGGGTATAAACCAATAACCAAAACAAGCAAGTACATCTAAAACAGCCACATAAACTAAAAAGGCTGATTAAAAGAGAAAACCATCTTGCACCAAAATCAATTAGAAAGCTTTTTGAACTAGTCATGACCACCGTTACTAGAATTTATCACGTTCTATTGTATTTATTGTGGTATATTTTGACTAACTTGTTTATAGAAATATTAATAGATAATCTGTTAAGGGAATAGTTTTTAAGATTTAATTTACAACTGTGACATGTTGTAGCTATAGTTTCTATGTGTAGGCTGCTATTTTTCATAACAAAACAAAACAAAAACTACTCCATTGTATTCATACATTCAAAATATTTGACTTACTTATATATCTTCTCAAGACATTCTCTATTTGTTTCTGTTGAAAGCGTCCTTTGATTACAAGCTGGTTATTTCCATCTATGGAGCCACTAGATATAAGAAGACATCTCTTTAGTTACAGGAAAAATCACTTTTTCTCATCCGACAATTATGGAAATGCAGTTCAAAACTCACCATGTTCCTAACTCGGCTAACAGGAATGCCAAAAGATGTTTGGGCTGTCGATGCAACCTGAATATGAAAAAGTAAACATGCAATGGTTTAATAGACAAATTTTGGCCAATAACCTATCACTGGAATCACTGGTTTGATTATATTTTATTTACATATTGGTCAATGTTAAAAAAGATCCAAATTAAAGAAAAGGTACTGTTTGCACCATGTTGGTTCCATGAACTCACAAACTTTTCCCTTATCCTCACTCTGAAAACATGTGTGTACACAACTTTTTCAAGAATACTTTAAATATATTTTTCAATATAAAAAGTATTTTTGTGAATTATACGGATTAAGTGAATTATTTTTACATTTTAATGTATATGTAATATATTTCAGTTATTTATTAATATAGAAACATCAATTGTCATTTAACAATCAGTTTTTTCCTTGTCTTGAAAATTTTAAAATTGACCTTACAGTCATGAGGGTTTTACAAGTATGTTTTTCTTTTCTTATACTTTAAGTTTGTTTGTTTTTTTGCATTTTAGTGCACTTGATCTTAATTTGGCAGACAAATATTTTTCAATTATTAATTTCATCCTTTTAATGCGGATTTATTTTATTATGATATTAGGACAGTTGTCTCACCCTGACAAGTCCCTTTAAATTGAATCTTCAGAAATTAAAACATGCTTCAAGAAATAAAATAAAACACGTTTGTATTCAAGTCATTGTTAGTTAGTATGATTTTTTTTTGTACAGCTGTATTTGTAATGTATTTTTGAATACATTAAAAGGTAGCACAAAATAGCGTAATGTGTGACTGACCCATACAGTATATCATCCATTGTACTATTTCCTAGAAAATACATTCAGTCAAAGGTTGTTGTTGTTGTTTTACAAGACCATAAGCATTCCTAGTTTTCTCTAGAACCCAGACTCAGCAGACATGCTAAGTGTTTGCACTCACAGTTTGCAGATGTCAGTGAAGTTTACAAAAGATGTTTTCTTTGTCCCAACTCGGACCACCTGAGGCGGCTTCATTACAAACTTCCTCTTCTCTCCTGCAACCATATCAGGGTTTTTCTCCCTCATGATGTTAAACACCCGGCTCAACAACTGTAAAGACGCAGACAAGTAAATAATGTAATAAATTAAAGGAAAACTATGTCACAAAAACTGGGCAGAGTGATGTATGATATAGAAGAAGAAAGTACTCATCATATGATTCAACTTCATACCTCATCATAAGTGTAATCTCTCTTCGAACCTGCCCATGCTGGGCCTGATTGTGAACTGAATGTGATGCCTTCTGTGCTTTTATCATCCTCGATGACTGTAGTAAAATATAAGTGAAGAATTCAGACATTCAAATATTTAAAAGAGATTAGAAGATTCATCATTTGAAACAGTACATCATGTGGTGCATTAAAACCCTTAAGAGGGAAAAAAAAACAAATTATCTTTTTCCTGATATTAATGTCAATGTCACTTAATTTATACAGTATAATTTAAAACAACAATTGCTGACCAATGTGCTGTACATAGCATTATATAGAACTCAATAGAGATTGACACACAACAAAATATAACCAGACAAAATAGTCACTGTACATCATTGATTAAAATCTATGGAAAACAAATAAGATTTAAGTTTTGATTTAAAATGATCTACTGTTGTAGCGTTTCTAATAGTAACATGCAGACTGGTCCACAGTTGTGGCGCTGCTACTACAAATGCCCAGTCACCTCTATTAATTTTGTCCTTGGAACCTTTTGCCCTTGGTTTGAGGATCTCAGAGACCTCCCCGAGCAATGTTCCGACAAGAGATCAGTAAGATAAGATGTTGCCATGCCATTTAGAGATTTGTAGACCATTAAAAGACCTTTAAAATCAATTCTGTAGCAGACCGACAACCAGTGTAATGGAATTATTAGGTATTATATGTTCATGTTTCTTGACACCAGTCAGGAGCCTAGCAGCTGCATTTTGTAGCACTTGTAGCCTAGAAAGAGTAGCTTGACTAATTCCTATAAAGAGTGAGTTGCACTGTACTTCAAACTTAAGAAACTTAAACCTGACATTATAAATCTAAGTAACACAAACTGGATCTGATTTTTTTTTGCTGACATATGTAACAAAACATATGTAGAAAATAAGTTGACTCATGCTAAAAAGTTAAAGTTAAATGTAACTGAGCTGAGATGTTGTTAAAAATCTGTTAAAGGGGTCATATAATGCCATTTTCATTTTCACAGGCACTGCCAACACACATTTTAGTACAGTCAACTTGAAAATGTGCATGTACCATTATATGACCCCTTTAAAGCCAGTTTTGAGGTTGATGTGAATTTAGAGTAAAATGTCCTTGTAGATTTCAGTCCATGCCAACTGTTATACACAGTATTTTTCTGTAACTTCTAACTTTTATTATTCAATTTTTTTTTATTATATTAATTATGCAGCACATTCTAATTAAATGAAGTGTGTTCATACCATCTTTTCCCACTGTGTCTCTCTCCTCAACAAATTCTACTTTCTTTGCTTTCTTTTATTTTTTTACCTGGAAGGATCAAGTCCGGATCATCTTCCTCAATTATTTCCTGCTGGTCTCCCTCAATCCTCAGCTCCTGGTCACCAATAAAATGAAAAGAGTCAACAGCCGTTAGAAGAACTATCAAATACAATAAAATATACTTAATGGATAACACATTGGTGATAAGTCCAATTCTTTTTCCACAAACTGGTTCTTTTGGACAGCTTGTTTCAATAAACTAGTTAAAAAAGCACACAATAGGGCTTTTCACACTGCACTTAACTTCTTCGCGAGTTCGCGTTGTGGCCACATTACCACCTTGGGTGTGCTTTATCTTTCTAATAATTCAACGGCCCGTCGTCAATTATTCCTTACTTATTATAAAGATTAACTGTTAACCCTAGGCAAATTATGAGAAATGATAACCCAGGATTCCATTTACCCAGGGTTTAGAATGACCCATGGTTAACCATTTCAGGTGTGAAAATCCCTAATAAGAGCATTCTATCAAATTATTAATTTTAAACGTTAGTACACAGTAGTTAAAGAAGCTTAATATGAAGTGGGTCCGATTTTGAAAAATAATAAAATTAGATATGCAGCACACTCTGTTATTGAAGTCACAATTGTCTTTTCTTCCCCATTGCATATCCAAGAGAAAGCAAAAAAAATGTTTTTGATTAAAGATTACAAGGACACATACATTTTTTTTTTATGATGTGAATGGACAAATCATTTAAGTGTTAGTACATAGTACTTATAGGCAGTTGAAAGAGGGTCCCATTTAATTATCCAGCTATGTAAGCTACTGGTCAGAGTAAACTCATTTCATGTGTATTGCAACAGAATGAATCAGTAAACAATTCCCTGACGTCCTTATAAACAACTGCTAACCTTCATGCCTTCTTCAATGTCATTTTCAAACACCTTCTTTGGTTTCTTTTTCTTCTTTTTCTTATTTGAGAAGTTCAGATCATCTAAATCATCCGAAGGCTCTGTAAAGATAGTTGTAGAACAGTGTCATAAAGGTCCAATCTCAAATGGCACATTATAGACAAACTCCTTCACACATGCAATGAACTTTTCAGGGTTCTGGTTTAAAAACATTTGTTGAGAAACATGACTAAATCCATTGCCAAAAAGCAAAACACTTAATGGTTTATGAGAATAAAATGACAACTAATTATCAAACTTGCATCATCTCTCTCACCATTTATCTTGACGTCATCATCTTCAGGGTCCATTTCTCGCTCCTCTCCTGCTTCAGGCTCAACTTCTCTCTGTTCAACCTGTTGGGCTTCCTCTCCAAGGCCATCTCCATCTTCGTCGAGCATGAAGGGCTTCTTCTTCTTCTTTTTCTTCTTTGATGTAGTGGGGTCGAATAAAATCTGAGAACACATAAGGCACCAGAATCATTTGCTAAAGCATGCCTCACTGTGCTGAAATAAATAATACTCACCCGTTTTTACTACTCAAGCGATGTTGAGTGTTCTTTATTAGTTTTTGCATTTTATACAACTAGAAATAATAATGATACAATAATAAAAAATAATAAAAAATACAGCCTATAGCACGTTATAGTCAACACTATATAACTGCACTTAAATCTATTCCAAAGTCACAACATTGAATATTTCCCCTCAACTGTGAATATTACCAAAATATAAGAAGTACCACCAAAGTACCCCACAACATTGTTTATTTCCACTCAACTGTGAATATTACCCAAATATAAATAGACCACCACAGTACCTCGTCTTCTGACATGATGATTGGATTAAATATCAACGATGTTCGTCCTGTGAAATATCGTTCGCACGGTTATTGCAATAGCATGTCTTCTTGCATCAGCACAAGCGAGCTTAGCGGGCAAGCGTTCTTTCGACGACAAAACTATTTCATCATCTCAACGACAGGCGCTTTTCCACGGCATGTTGCGGCTCACTTTTTGAAGGGGTTACTCTGTGTACAGTACCTAGCACCTGGTAGTTTTTTAGTACCACCTTGTATCCCTTGTACCCAGCAGAGCCTGAGAGAGAGAGATTTGCCACAACGGAAGTTCAAAATGCTTGACCGATCGTCACGTGATTCGCGTAGACTTCAGCTAGTAGTTCCAGGAAGTGCTTCGGCGGATATTCAAAATAGATACAGTTAGAGAGACATAACCGTGATTTTTGGTAATTTGTAGTCAATAAATGCATTGATTTATAAAATCTATATAATACACCGACATGTGAATGTAGTATGTGTATGTAGTTACAGCAATGTTGTTTTTAAAAGAAAAAAAATCTGCGAATATTTAAGGATTAATGTGGTCAACCAGCGTTGCCTGCCTTGTGAACATATTTCTGGCTAACGTAAAGTTGAACTTTATGTTACCTTGGTTAAAGACCGTGTTTCAGTTGTTTTGTATTTGTATGTTCTTAAACTTATGTTAGTTATGCGCAATCACGTCATGTTCACTATTTAACAAGGACAGGAGACCAGCAGGGGACAGTAGATTGTTTAAAAAAAAAAATCCATTGCAAACAAGTGAAATGTAAACTTTAATTAAGCGAAATTTAATTAATCTTATTGTTTACAATTTTTATGCACCCCATGCACTTATTACTAGGCCTATATAAATTAATACAGAATATATTAAACTCTAAAACAAAACATGAATTATATATAGCCTATAAATTATACTATATATATATATATATATATATATATATATAGCCTATATACTGTATCTATATATATATATATATATCTATATATATATATATATATATATATATATATATATATATATATAGACTCTTGCACTGATTCGACTTGACCCTGCTCCTACTTCTCCTGAAACTTTGCCATTCTGTCATCTCCTATTTCTCACTTCAGCATCTCTGCTTCATTGCCTCTGGCACTTAAAAGTTACCCCTGTTCTCAAGAAACCCAACCTTGATCTCTCAGTTCTATCTAATTATCGTCCTATTTCAAATGTAGGCTACCCTTCTTTGCTTAATTAGCCTACTGGAAAGTAGCCTACTTGCCTCCCAGCTGTCTTTTCTAGTTGAAAATAATCTCTGTGATCCGTTTCAATCTGGTTTTCACCCCCACTTCATAGTACTGAAAGTGCACTTGTAAAGTTAGTGAATGATTTACTACTTTCTGGTGACATTGATTATCTCTCATATCACTTAATGTCTATAACAACCTGGTCACAAGAGAGTAAACTTACTCTGCAACCATTGGAGTCTCTGTATATAAACAATCACTAAAAATTCTTGATAAAAAATCTGTTAATTTTCATCATTGCTTGATACAAAAAAAAAAAAATTTTACTAAGTTATTCTGATTAGCTTCTTTGTAATAATTGCTCATTGCTTTGTTTTAAAAGCATGTGTATAGTAGTATGATTTTACATTTCTATATCTGTACATCAATATATTTTGTTTATCAAAATAGTTTTTTTCGTGTGTTTATACATGTAATATATGTCATTGGTCTCTTACTTTGTAAAGCAGCTATGTCTTGTTAATAAAAAAAGGTACAGAAATAAAATAAAAGCAAATTTTATTTTTACAAGTTAATATAATCATCTTTATTTTTATAGCGCTTCATACAATACAGATTGTTTCAAAGTAGCTTTACGGTAATAAACTGGAAGATAAGCATCAATAATGCAAACACAATTCAATTCTCTAAGATTCAGTTCTGACAGTAGTGCCGTTATTCGGCTGGAGTCAGTTCATAGTTGATTCAGTTCAGTAGTAAAGTTCCATTCAGCTGTAAAGCAGCAGCTCTGCGGAAATCAGTGATGCCATCATTCAGCTCAATAAAAATCTTGACAAACATTATAAATCGATCTTAGTTGGATTATAAAAAGTGTGACACAATAAATGCTTTCAAAGAATAGAAAAATTAGGTTCATGACCCCTGTTGGTTGTTGAAAAAAAAATGTTTTCATGTGGAAAGAGTCAGCCTCTGTTTTTATTTCCTTTCTTGTATTATAGAAAGATTCAGGTCTCAAATCTTGAAAATTGACCCCAAGTGACCCCAGTTACCCAAAAACAAATTCTATCACTTAAATAAAGCCTATCATCTATCAAAAATCTGTATTGCCAGCAACCAAATCACCCTGTAGCCCAAGACTGGTTGCCCCCTGAAGCTAAGCAGGGTTGAGCCTGGCCAGTACCTGGATGGGACACCTCCTGGGAAAAACTATAGATTGCTGCTGGAGGAGGTGTTAGTGAGGCCAGTAGGGGGTGCTCACCCTGTGGTCTGTGTGGGTCTTAACACCCACTCGCCCAGTATAGTGATGGGGACACTAAACTGTAAAAAGCACAGTCCTTCGGATGAGACGTTTGGATCCTGACTCTCTGTGGTCATTAAAAATCCCAGGATGTCCTGCTGAAAAAGAGTAGGGATGTGTAACCCCTAAAATTAGCCTATTGACCTCTGTCCATTATGACCTCCTAATCGCCCCATATATATGTACAGTGCTGGTCAGAATTATTTGCCCCCTTGGTAAATATGATCAAAGATGGCTTTAAAAAATAAATCTGCATAGTTTATCCTTTTGGTATCTTTGGATCTTCCAACAGAACAGTGATCCAAAAACAACATCAAAATCAAAACAAAAATCGGTCACTGAGCACAAAACCAAGCATCTGCATTGGCCATGCCAGTCCCAGACCTGAACCCTATAGGAAATGAGTCGGGTAAACTGAAGAGAAGGAGCGTCACCTTTTGGTGCATAACACCCCCACTGGTTATTTAGGTTAAAGAAGCTATTGTTAAGATTTAGGTCCATCTATAAGCTTATTGGAACAGTTACCCAAAAATAAATTATATCATCATTATTTACTCCAAAGTCATATACCACTATTTTTACAGTGGAACACAATTTTGGGAGGGCAATTTTGAAGAATCGTTACGCAGCTCTTTTCCATACAATATCTTTTCATATAGTCACCATGTCTGTAAAGCTCCAAAAAGGCATACGTGTCACATAAGTAGTCCATATGTTCATGACACATGCTGTATATTCCAAGACTTCTGGAGTAGCTTTGTATGAGAAACACTTGTTTTTATTCACTAGTATTTCCATAGACGCGAGCTCTGAAGTGTCATTGCAGACATGTTTAAAATGCTGCAGCAAAATATAGTTGACAGCATGTTTTAGTGAAAACAGACAATTCTACAGTGCATGCTTACATCAACCGGCAGGGAGGTACATGCTCCCTTCAATTGCATCAGTGAACAAAATAGCTGTAACGTTGCGGGAAGAATGAACCTAGAGTGAATCCAATTGCAAGCACATTTATTAAACAAACAAACAAAAGAAACTCAGACTGGAAAAACGGACACAGCAACCATTACAACATTACTAAGATCTCCCAAAACAACAAACAGGTACAGGCAGGTTGACAGGCAAAAGGTAACTCTCACATTAACACGTAACATAAACACGTAACATGTTCACGACCGACAAGGACAGACTGAACAGAAGCAACCTAAATACAAGCATGAATCAGACATAACAAGGTGAAAACAGGTGACACTGATGATGATAACGAGGGACAGGCTGGTAAGTGAGGGAGTGAATACAGGTGTGGAGACGAGGAGGATTCTGGGAAGTGTAGTGAAGATGACTAAGACAGACAGGTGCAGACGAAGACTGTGACAGAACGCCCCCCTTCAACAAGGCGCGACCTCGCGCCGTAGAACATCAATGGGGTGGGGGGGCGGGCGCCCTGAAGGCTGGCCAGGGCGTGGCCAAACTGGGACGGGAAGCCTCCAGGGCGGATCAGGAAGTGCAGGCGGCCAGGGCGGGGCAGGACGTGCAGGCGGCCAGGGCGGAGCAGGACGTGGCCAGGGCGGAGCAGGACATGGGCGTGGCCAGGGCGGTGGAGACCCTTCGGGCGGCCATGGCGGTGCGGATCCTTCGGGCGGCCATGGCGGTGCGGACCCTTCGGGCGGCCATGGCGGTGCGGACCCTTCGGGCGGCCATGGCGGTGCGGACCCTTCGGGCGGCCATGGCGGTGCGGACCCTTCGGGCGGCCATGGCGGTGCGGACCCTTCGGGCGGCCATGGCGGTGCGGACCCTTCGGGCGGCCATGGCGGTGCGGACCCTTCGGGCGGCCATGGCGGTGCGGACCCTTCGGGCGGCCATGGCGGTGCGGACCCTTCGGGCGGCCATGGCGATGGAGGCCCTTCGGGCGGCCATGGCGGTGCGGACCCTTCGGGTGGCCATGGCGGTGCGGACCCTTCGGGTGGCCATGGCGATGGAGGCCCTTCGGGCGGCCATGGCGGAGCCCTATGGCCCCCCCCCAAAAATTTAATGGGGAGAGTGACAGAGTCATTACTAGTCTCTGGGCTGGACGGAACCAGCGGTGAAGGGGTCTCTGGGCTGGACGGAACCAGCGGTGAAGGGGTCTCTGGGCTGGACGGAACCAGCGGTGAAGGGGTCTCTGGGCTGGACGGAACCAGCGGTGAAGGGGTCTCTGGGCTGGACGGAACCAGCGGTGAAGGGGTCTCTGGGCTGGACGGAACCAGCGGCGAAGGGGTCTCTGGGCTGGACGGGACCAGCGGCGAAGGAAGCTCAGGGCTGGACGGGACCAGCGGCGAAGGAAGCTCAGGGCTGGACGGGACCAGCGGCGAAGGAAGCTCAGGGCTGGACGGGACCAGCGGCGAAGGAAGCTCAGGGCTGGACGGAACCAGCGGCGAAGGAAGCTCAGGGCTGGACGGAACCAGCGGCGAAGGAAGCTCAGGGCTGGACGGGACCAGCGGCGAAGGAAGCTCAGGGCTGGACGGGACCAGCGGCGAAGGAAGCTCAGGGCTGGACGGAACCAGCGGCGAAGGAAGCTCAGGGCTGGGTTCATGGGCTGTAATGCATGTGTGTGCTGCCCACACACACAAAACAGCCATGGATCCCACAAGGAGCACTGCGTCCTCCAGAGCTGGCTGGACGGTCTCTGGCTGGACGGTCTCTGGCTGGACGGTCTCTGGCTGGACGGTCTCTGGCTGGACGGTCTCTGGCTGGACGGTCTCTGGCTGGACGGTCTCTGGCTGGACGGTCTCTGGCGCAGGACCGTGGAGGATGTGAAGCTCTGGCTGGACGGTCTCAGGCTCTGGCGGGCAGGCGACGGGCTCTGTGCTGGATGGGACCAGTGGTGAAGAAGGCTTTGAGCTGGGCAGGACCAGCAGTGAAGGCTTTGAGCTGGGCAGGACCAGCAGTGAAGGCTTTGAGCTGGGCAGGACCAGCTGTGAAGAGGGCTCTGGCGCAGGATCAGCGGGCTCTGGCGCAGGATCAGCGGGCTCTGGCGCAGGATCAGCGGGCTCTGGCGCAGGATCAGCGGGCTCTGGCGCAGGATCAGCGGGCTCTGGCGCAGGATCAGCGGGCTCTGGCGCAGGATCAGCGGGCTCTGGCGCAGGATCAGCGGGCTCTGGCGCAGGATCAGCGGGCTCTGGCGCAGGATCAGCGGGCTCTGGCGCAGGATCAGCGGGCTCTGGCGCAGGATCAGCGGGCTCTGGCGCAGGATCAGCGGGCTCTGGCGCAGGATCAGCGGGCTCTGGCGCAGGATCAGCGGGCTCTGGCGCAGGATCAGCGGGCTCTGGCGCAGGATCAGCGGGCTCTGGCGCAGGATCAGCGGGCTCTGGCGCAGGATCAGCGGGCTCTGGCGCAGGATCAGCGGGCTCTGGCGCAGGATCAGCGGGCTCTGGCGCAGGATCAGCGGGCTCTGGCGCAGGATCAGCGGGCTCTGGCGCAGGATCAGCGGGCTCTGGCGCAGGATCAGCGGGCTCTGGCGCAGGATCAGCGGGCTCTGGCGCAGGATCAGCGGGCTCTGGCGCAGGATCAGCGGGCTCTGGCGCAGGATCAGCGGGCTCTGGCGCAGGATCAGCGGGCTCTGGCGCAGGATCAGCGGGCTCTGGCGCAGGATCAGCGGGCTCTGGCGCAGGATCAGCGGGCTCTGGCGCAGGATCAGCGGGCTCTGGCGCAGGATCAGCGGGCTCTGGCGCAGGATCAGCGGGCTCTGGCGCAGGATCAGCGGGCTCTGGCGCAGGATCAGCGGGCTCTGGCTCGAAGACTGGCTCTGCAGGCGTGACATGAAGATCTGGGCTGGGTCGGACCAGCGGCGAGGGCTCTGGGCTAGACGGGCACGGTGGCGGATGGAGCCCTGGACTGAACATAATCAACCCAGGATTGAAAAGAGGCCAGAATGTAGAGTGGTGTCGGGCTTCCACACGACCACCTCCTCTACTGCGGCCTCCACGGGTCCCGCGAAATATGGCCAACCGGGTCCCCGCAAATGGAAGTCCTCTCTCCTGCTCGGTCATCTTCAGTTTTTTAAGGGTGAGTTCTTCTGTAACGTTGCGGGAAGAATGAACCTAGAGTGAATCCAATTGCAAGCACATTTATTAAACAAACAAACAAAAGAAACTCAGACTGGAAAAACAGACACAGCAACCATTACAACATTACTAAGATCTCCCAAAACAACAAACAGGTACAGGCAGGTTGACAGGCAAAAGGTAACTCTCACATTAACACGTAACATAAACACGTAACATGTTCAACGACCGACAAGGACAGACTGAACAGAAGCAACCTAAATACAAGCATGAATCAGACATAACAAGGTGAAAACAGGTGACACTGATGATGATAACGAGGGACAGGCTGGTAAGTGAGGGAGTGAATACAGGTGTGGAGACGAGGAGGATTCTGGGCAAGCTCGGGAAACAAATGCTAGCAACCCAATAAGCAGAGTAAACCACAGGAGCCATCATAATGAGAGAGTCCAACAGGTCAGTAGGCCTAAATGTAACTCTCAACAGTCAGAATACTGTGAATTCAAAAAGAAAATGTCAGAAGAAATAATGTTGGTCAAGAAAAATGACTTCCTTGCCTTCATTTGCGCAGTGATCAGTAAAGCAACTGAACCTCATCAGGGAAGTAATACGGTAAAATCAATTGTGGATATTGCAAATGACTTTTTAGGATTTAGCTCACAAGCTAGTAAAATTCAAGAGATACTGAATTGTAAATATGAGGGTCAAAATAGTGATTAAAAGCCTTATGGTATTTTTCATTCTTCAATGGAATGCCAGAAGTCTAATAACAAATGGTCAAGAATTTAAGAGATATATACACAATTTGAAAGAAAAACCTGAGGTCATATGCATTCAAGAAACATGGTTAAAACCACACCTTGATTTTGTATTGAAAGGATATAATGGTATTAGATGTGATAGAGAAAAAGGCAGAGGAGGAGGGTGTATGACATTTATTAAATTAGGAATACCGTATAGGTCTATTAATTCCAAGGCCCACGAATGTGTGGTAACTGAAATATTTAACAAAGGTAGTGGTAATTTTACTATCATTAACTATTATAATCCATGTAAAGCATTAAATAGTGAGTTATTGAAAAGTATTGTTAAGAGAAGTCACAGAGAGATTTGGTGTGGGGACTTCAATGCTCACAACAGTTTATGGGGCAGTAAACAGACAAATTTGAATGGTGAGGCAGTGGAAGAAATGATGAATGATAGAATGTTAGTGTGTTTAAATAATGGTTATGGTACTAGAATTAATGTTTATAAAAATGAAACTTCTTGTATAGATTTAACTATAGTTGATAGGAAAATTGCCAGTAGATGTGAATGGGAAATAGATCAAAGCACAAGCATGGGTAGTGATCACTTCCCAATTACATGTGCAGTTGATATTGAATTTATGATTGAACAGAGTTATGTGCCCCAAAGATGGAATTTTAAAAAAGCAGATTGGGAGAAATTTGTAGAAAGCTGTGGGAATGGGGAAAGTATATTAATTAATAATGATCAGACAGTTGATGAAATGAATAGTATTGTCAGTTCTTTTATATTGGTTGCTGCCAGCCAAAGCGTTCCTGTTAGTCAAAATCAAAAGAAGCAAATCAATGTTCCATGGTGGAATGATAAGTGTTCAGAGGCTATCAAGGACAGGAATAGAGCGTTTAAGAACTTGCGTAGAACATTAACAATGGACAATCTTATTAACTACCAAAGGAAGAAGGCATTAGCCAGGAAGGTTATTAAAGAGGCTAAGAGAGATTCATAGAGACAGTTTTGCTCAACAATAGGAAGAGAGACCACGTTAAATAAAGTATGGATGATGATTAAGAAGATGATAGGCAAATTTAAGCCTCCTCAGGTTGCTGTTTTAATTAAAGATGGGACCCATGCAATCTCAGATTTGGAAAAAGCCAATATGCTTGCTAGAGCTTTTGCAGACATACACAAGGGTAGCCACCTGGAGGAGCGGTATATGAAAAGGAAAGAAGAGGTATTGGAAACAAATAGGAATATCTTAAATACCAAAGAGTCAAATATGTCTATTATGGATGCTGAAATTAATATGTCAGAACTTAAAAGGGCATTGAGTAATTCTGCATACTCTGCACCAGGGACGGACAACCTGTGTTATGCTATGTTTAGAAAACTACCTGATAATATATTGGAGAAAGTTCTTAAGTTGTTTAACAAAGTATGGAATGAAGGTAAATTACCAAGCATGTGGAAAGTGGCAAGAATTCTTCCATTTCCTAAACCAGGTAAAGATTCAAGTGATCCAGGAAACTATAGGCCTATTGCACTCACTTCACATTTTGGAAAATTAATGGAAAAAATTATAGTTGGACGTTTAAATTATTTTCTAGAATACATAAATCCAATTAAAGGGTATCAAACTGGATTTAGGAGGGGTAAGTCAACAACTGATGCTCTGGTTAAAGTATGCAATGAAATTGAAAAGACTTTAATAATGAAAGAAGTAATGGCGGCAGTTTTTCTGGATATTGAGAAAGCCTATGATACTATGTGGAGAGAAGGTTTGTTGATTAAATTAGGAAAATTGGGAATTAATGGGAAAATGTATAATTATATACTTGATTTTCTTTCTAAACGTTCAATTAGGGTCAAAGTGGGAGATGCAGTGTCTGATGAGTTTATTGTTGAAAATGGAATTCCTCAGGGGAGTGTTATCAGTCCTATAGACCCCTTCACGGTTGACGTCACAGAAAAATTCGCTGTGCGCAGTGCGCATGTCGGGGTCAGAAAGTTCATTCCATCGAGTTGTAACCGTTGTAACCATAGACTGTTTTAACCACAATAACCAGAGAATTTCTCGCCAACATGCCTACTTGTTGCGTCGTGGACTGTGCAAATCGCACGAGTTGTGGAGTCAAATTTTTCAGGATTCCTGGAGGATCTCATCCTTTTCAAAAAAATAGACGACATCTGTGGCTGCAAGCCATTAAACGGGCAGACTGGGACAACGCGATGATCAAAGAGGCTCGTGTTTGTAGCGCTCACTTCATATCAGGTAAAATCATCCCTTTCTATTAGATTAAACTCGAAAGATTGCATGAACAATTTTCTGTACCCTAGCCTATAACATTAAGCTATGCAGGATAATAGTTTTTTAAATGTCATATTCCGCTAGCCAGCTGCTGGTAACGTTAGCTAGCTAGTTAGCCGCAGGCTAGCGCCAACATTGTGACAACAACATTTTACTTACCACGTCTTAACTCTAGCCATGGTAAGTAAACAAATGTTTTATGTAAACTGTAGGCTGATTTAATAATTAGGTGAAATTTGATATCTGGCATTAATTGTGACCTGTGTCACAATTAACCCCTACAGACCCAGCATACTAGCTGTACATTAGCGCTTTCAACAGTAGATAGCTAACGTTGTAATCAATGTGTGTAATTCTTTTTTGTAGGAGAGGCTTCACTTGACTCCAGTAGTCCTGACTTTGTGCCCTCCTTGTTTGTGTACACAAAACAAAGCCAGACACCTAAGACAAAAATGGAAAGGTACGAATAAAAAACAAGTATTTCTATAATATCTGATTAAAAATATTACAATTACAGCATTCTAATTCCTTGTTCATGTAAATTCATTAATTTCATGTGAATTCTTTGATAACATTTCAATATCACAGCAATATTGTGCAGGCCTAGTTTAACTCAATGATTAAAGGGGTCATATAATGCCATTTTTGTACAAGCTAATATGATTCTTTAGGGTCTAAATTAAAACTTTGTAATATACTTTAATTAAAAATTCTCATTAGTATTGTAAGAAAACACTTATTTTACCTGGTCAAAAACAGCTCTGTTTTCAGCACGCCGTTTCAGTGCATATGACTTTAAATGATAATGAGCTTTGCTCACTCCGCCTCTCTGTTCTGCGCATACACCGTTTGTAACACAATAACACAATAACCACGCGTTGTTCATTATAAACGTGGGATTATGAATTATATTATGAATTATATTATATGAATTATATTGAGAACGTTGTACATAGAAAACATGCTGTAATGTACCCTGAGTGTAAACCGACGCATTCATCGTGAAGCGTGCCGCTAGCGATTTGCAAAGATTAATATAAATATTAATATAAAGATTAATAAAACGTTACACTCACTTTAGTAGAACAGAACACCACAATCGCTTAGACGCCATTCTGCTCATAGATAGTGCTCCAGCATATCAACAATGACCGCGCAGATCCGCGCGGACTATGATTGACAGGACGAGCGAGGGCGGGTCTTTAAATGGTTTCACACAGCACTAATTGTTCCTTTTGTTTTCCTTTAGGTATCAAAGGAAAAGGAAGAGAGATGAACGCCCTGACATGCAGCCGGCTTCTTCCATGGCTGAAATGGAACAAGACTGTACCATTGATCATTGCAGTGGTATGAATAATCTCTTAAACGTAAAGCATAAACTAATGCAGTCTAATGCACCAGCCCTGTGATAGCACAAGCTACACCCTCCAAAATTGTCATAATTTTTCACTGAACTTCTGTATGCCTTTTTGTTTTCTGTTCAAGATGAGGAGGAAACTGAAGGGGACCGCCCAGTGTCGAGAAAGGAACATGATGATCTTTGCTTTAGACATCATCAACTGCAGGAAGACTACATCAACCTGCAGCAGGACTGTTTTAAATTACGCAGTGAGAATGAAGAACTAAGACATGAGTTACAGAATTCCAAATTTTCATACAGCAATGTTAAGAGTAGCATTGGGCAATTACTGTTTTTCACTGGACTGACCTCTGTAATCTTTGAATGGCTCCTAAAAAAGTTAGATTGCAGTATTGAGATAAGTCACCAAGCCCTTCCTCTAGAGGACCAATTATTGATGGTCTTGATGAAATTAAGGATGGGCCTCAGTAACACTGACCTGGCATATAGATTTCATGTAACAACAAGCACTGTATCAAATATTTATCGGAGTTGGATCTCTGTAATGTCTGTTGTTCTTAAGCCATTAATTAAATGGCCAAATAAGGAAGCTATACTTAAAAATATGCCCAAACCATTTAAACGACACTTTAAAAAATGCCGCTGCATAATAGACTGTACAGAAATTTTTATAGCTCGACCTAGTAATTTGACTGCAAGGGCCCAGACCTGGTCTAATTACAAACACAATAATACATTAAAATATTTGATTGCCATCACACCTGCTGGGGCAATTTCGTTTTTGTCTCCAGGGTGGGGTGGGCGGGTTTCTGATAAACAGATCACCAAGGAGTCAGGTTTCCTGGAACTGTTGGAGCCTATGGATGAGGTTTTAGCTGATAGGGGATTTTTAATACGGGATGAGCTTGCAGCTTGCGGTGCCACTCTTCGTATCCCTCATTTTACTAAAGGTAAAAAGCAACTGTCAGCACTAGAAGTAGACACATCCAGACAACTGTCTCGGGTTAGGATTCATGTTGAACGAGTCATTGGTCGGTGGAAAAACTTCAAAATTTTACAAACTGTTATTCCTGTGTCTCAGGTTGATATGCTCGACGATGTAGTGACCGTGTGCGGTGCTCTAACAAACCTCTGTAAAAGTGTGGTTCCCAAATAAGTAATTAATTTTTAAATATTTAATGATTAAAGGATAATTCCGGTATTTAGCAACAGAAATCATGCGATTTTACAAAATACCAAATAAAACAAATAAAACTTGACAAACTGTATTTCGCTACGCTACTTGTTTTGGAACATCAAAGCAGTTTTGAAAACGAACGTTAAGGGTTGTTTTAAGGACATGTTTGTGTATGCCCATAGACAGCCTCTCTGAAGCGCTCAGAGGCGATTCTAAAAGAGTCATAAACTAATTTATAGTTTTTTATATTTTGTCAAAATATGTAACATTGTTTCTGGACATGTTCCAATAAAGAAAATCATATACATATAATAATTTGCTGTCACTTGTTTTATTTAAGGTACTGGATAATGAAATGGAATTGTAAATGTCTTAAATTGATGTGCATCTGCATACAAACAAACAATAACAAGTGCATCTGTATACAGACAACAATATACACAACACATAAGTGAAATGGTAGTTCACTAGTCAACACTTGGCTTCTGGCATTGACAAAGAAAACAGTCAGTTGTCTTGACATTCTTTACATGACCAAGTTGCTGACTTCCTTTTGATCTGTGCACAGCTGTAATGGAAGTGGCAATTACATCTGGCACAGTTGATCATTTTCCCAAAATCCGGCCTTTCACAGATTTTGCAGACTGATTGTTCCCGCAAGGAAGGGTCATGTCTTCTTGTTAGGATCTCAGGCAACACAGTTGAAATGAAGGCATGTTGAGCCTTTGACAAATTCTCCTGCAGAAACTCTGTGTTTTTGAGGATGCGTTCCACTATAACCTCGTTTCTCGTCCACACCACAAAATCACAGTAGCTTACGTCACTTACAAACATATGTAGTTGGGTTTGATAGTAGTATGGGTGTGAATTCTTCAAATTGAAAGACTTGTCCAGGCAAAACTGCCTGTCCTCTGTGCTTCCCTGAAGACCATCACGGTATTTGTAAGGACACTTAATTTCTACCAAACCTTTGCCACAACAGGTACATCTTACCATGCCATCTGGTGATGATCCGAGGTGTGGCTCTGAAGGTCGCACCACTAGACCACAGGAACTTACACTAAAGTCTTGATGGTTTTCGACCATAAGGGACGTGTAGGCTTGTCTTGCCGTTTCTTCCATGGACTTACCCCAGAGAACAGATGGGACATTTAGCTGTGTGTGGTTGTACTGCATTATCTCACTCAGGTAGGTGTTGCTGATATTGTCAGCTGTAGCCACACGATAAAACCTAGTACTTGTAATTCGACCAGCCCTGTAGGTTTGCCAATCTTTTGAGCTTGACTGTTGTCGTGTGACAAATTCCAGCCTTTCACACTGATGAGGTTGTAGTTTATTCTTCAGTCTGTGAAATGTGTCCTCACTTTTAACCTGCAATTCTTGTGGTGAGAGTTCCCTGAGTGTTCCATCAAATAAAGCAGTCAAGGGCTCAGGTAAGTTTGAGTGTTCCTCTGTATCAGTATCGGATGCAGTGTCTGTATCACTATTTTCTAGACTTGTCAGTACTGCAGCATCAGGGGCTATAATCTGCAACTCTTTGATGTCATCATCTGTCAACACTGTGGAAGGAGAACTAGACAATTATATCACTTATTACATGGCTTGGTTGAATTGTAATGTAGAATGCGGTCTGTTATTTCTTGATAACAGACCGCTGCTAAGTATAACACACCGTTGCCATGAAATAATAAAAAATAATAAACTACTTTTTAAAGCAATATTTTGTGTAAAATTATTGATTTATTTGATTTATTTGGTAGGTAGCCATGTAATAAGCGGGATAATGTAGTGAGGCGGTTGTTAGCGAATACAAACCCTTAGGGCTGATTCAAGACCTCTCTGCTTCGCGTCCCTCCTGATCAGCCTGTCGGGGTTGTATTCGCTTTAACAATCGCTCTACTATATCCCTTACACATAGTCACATAGAACTACCATAACACTATACAGCATGGCATTAATTTATCCATTACAGTGTAAAATGGCTGTAGAACAAACTTGATCCTAATGTGACATTACAATGTCAAAAAACTTGGGAGGAGTAACGAAAATAAACAAAATGAACTTTATGCTCTCATCTATTACATGCCTGTGGCTCTGGCGATGGCACTAGACCTACTCCTGACCGTTTCTGGAAGCTGCCTGTCTAGCCTGCCTGTCCTCTTTGGCTTGTGGAAGCTGATTTTCTTTAATGGGGCTGGTTCGACTTCTTTCCTGCTTAAGTCTTTCCACTTGCACTCTCCAGAAGTGACTGCTGGTTTCTCTGTCCATCCCATCCTAACACAGATTTCGATTTTAAATAAAATTGCAGCTGCATGACTGCAGCATGACCCAAGCCTGAAATTAAATTAAATTAAATATAATTTTCATGTCAAACCATTATCCTTCATGTTATGAGTGGGTCTTGAAATGAACACTTGCTCTCAGCAAATGGGTCTGCAGGTGACATACTAGACATACTGCAGATAAGACATAGCTACAGACTAAATACTAACATGCCTACTATGAATTTTTTTTAACACAGGCTACTATACACTACTCATGCTTGTTCTAACCGTGTGTTGTGTCCTAATGACATATCCGAGTTTTTTTTTTTTTTTTCTTGACATAACGCACTGACGCGATTTCCACGCATCTCCGCGATAATTGGTGAAATGACAGACATACGTTTAGTTTAGCAAGAATGACCCTAGAGGAAAGGTGACGGATGCAGGGTAAGTGATTAGTAGCCTAGTCGTGACAGTTTTCTAGGGAAATATAACCATCAAGTCAATCAGTCTACAGTGCCTTCGTCTCCAATATGATAAATACTTAACGTTACCCTGCCATGCAGGTGCAATTTGCAGTATGGATGTAGCCTTCCCGCTTGTTGATCACGACCCAGGCTTTGTACATAGAGGTCTTTTTCCCTTGGCGCTGGCTCGGTAAAACCTCCGCTTTTAACACACAAAAGTCATCGCCTATATCGCTATATAAAACCGGCTGAACATGCCCACAGACTACGTAATTATACGCGTCTAGCGATTTGTAGGCTTTGAGTTTTTCGCGTGTGTAAACACTCGGCTTGTCCACCAGATAGCTGTATATTGCGGGCCAGTGAATATCTGGCCACTTGCTGACGTTGTCTACCCATTCTGTTATGAGCTCGGGATCAGGCAGACAATCGCCATTAACTAAAACAAGTTTGTTATGGTACTGTTCCCGTTCCTGTGGTGGTAAAGACAGTGCATAACTCGACACAATATGCCGGTCTATTAGCCGCGCCATTTTTCTGACCCCATGCTGCGCGCGCACCCAACCTAGGATTCCAATGTTTACAAACATTGAAGGGGTCTATCAATATAATGATTAATGACATATATGAAAAACTGGGAGATAGTAACGAAGGTCTATTATATGCAGATGATGCTGTCATTTGGAGAAGAGGACGTAACATTTCATACGTTAATGATAAGATTCAAAAGGACATTCATGTACTTGAACAGTGGGGAGTTGATTGGGGTTTTAAATTTTCTATCTCAAAGTCACAGGTTGTTTATTTTACTAGGAAAAAAGTCCCTGAAACTTATAAAATTATGCTTTATAATCAGCAACTTGAAAGAAGTGAAAAATATAAGTACCTAGGAATATGGTTGGATGCCAAACTTACATGGAAATTTCACATAAAATATGTTGAAACAAAGTGTAAAAAGGTAATTAACCTTATGAGAATGGTCACTGGGCATAATTGGGGAGCTGACAGGCTGTCTCTGATGAACATATATAAAGCATTGATAAGATCAAATATTGATTATGGCTGTATAATGTATAGCTCAGCTTGTAAGACATCCCTCAAGAAAATTGAAAGAATGCAATTTAAGGCTTTGAGGATTGCCCTTGGTGCTTTTAAAACAACTCATACAAGTGCTTTGTTAGTTGAATCTAAGGAAACCCCTATTAATTTAAGGTATGAGAAATTATCACTAACTTATTGGGTAAGGTTAAAAGGAAGTTTCAACAACCCAGCTCTGTCAGTACTTAGTGATTGTTGGGAATATTGTAAAAAGTCCAGTGGGTTTGGTTGGAATATTGGCAATTTAGTAAACCATTATGGATTAAAAGAGTTGAAGTATGGCCCAGCATTAGCGTTAAGTTGTGTTCCTACATGGCTGCTTCCTGTACCAGAGGTAAATATTAAGTTATTAGCGGGAAAAGGTGAGCATCACACTAAGCAAAGTTTTACTGAAGCCTGCTTAAGTTATTTAAAAACTTCATATTATGGATATTTGGAAATATTTACAGATGGCTCTAAAGAATCCAAGGGTCATTGTGGTATTGGAATTTACATTCCAGAATTTGGAAAAAGATATGGGTATAGAGTGAGTGACCATTTATCAGTATATTCAATAGAGATGACTGCAATAATTACTGCCCTTAGGTGGGTTGAAGAGACTAAACCTCTGAGATCTGTTATATGTACTGACTCTATGGCAGTATTACAAAGTTTTATAACAGATAATGCAATACGTGAAGATTTAGTATTAGAAGTAAAGCATATTCTTTTAAATATTATAAGCCTTGGGTTAGTGGTACAGTTCTGTTGGATTCCAGGACATTATGGAATTGATGGCAATGAAATTGCTGATAAGTTAGCTAAAAAAGCTCTGGAATTAGACCAAGTACAAATTCACATTCCATTGGGTAAAGGAGATGCTAAAGCTTTAATTAAATCACAGATTACACTAAAGTGGCAAGATGAATGGGAGTTAGAGAAGAATGCCAGGCATTATCATAGGAACCAGAACTGTGTTGGAGGGAAAAGAATCACCTCATTGGGTCTAAATAGGCATGAAGAAGGTATGATAACCAGATTGAGGTTGGGTCACACAGGCCTTAATTCCACTTTATCCTTAATAGGTAAAAGTAATGGCATATGCTCTGAATGTAAAGTATTGGAGGATGTCACCCATGTTTTATTTAAATGTAAGAAATTTGACAAATTC